CTAGACAGTTACATAAACCTGACTCAGCCAGTCATTCCCTGATAGAGCAAGAGTCTGTTTTATCTTCTCGGCTCTCTGGGCTGCTGGGAAATTTTCTGTCATTTGACAGATAGCCAGCAGTTTTCAGAAAAATGTACACCTGCTTTGCTATAAAGATCCTACCTGCTCATCGTTTTGACAATTCAAGTAGTGAAAGACTAAACTCAGCATCCATCCCACTAACTGCAAGTACTGCATTGTGTGTAATCAGTTTCTCTGACCAGAGAGAAAAACTCTTTTAGAAGAAAAATGGACTGAGAATGTATTCCATGGCAGGAATGTTAGTGAAGATACAAAGAAGTAAGATATGGTGGCAATACATGGCAATTCCAGGTTGTAGTGGTCATGAACAGTGCTCCGTGGCGGGGGCTGTGTTCCGGTGTGGCTGGGCGGGCAGCACGCAGTGACACAGGACAGTAAGGGTGGAGACGGGCAAATGGCACAAGCGAAGGTATGAAGGGGAGGACTTCGTGACGTTACGGGAATGGCTGGCGTTCTGGCTGGAAATAAGATGTGGGTTTGGGGCAACGTGGGGGGAAAGGCTAGAATTGCTGTACAGATGTTTCTCACAGTGGGGTTCCATCTAAAACGCCTCATGAAGTGAAAAGTTGAGAATGTATTTAGTACTGCTCACCTGCGCAACGTTGCAGCTCGGACCGTCCAATCTTAAACGCACCGAAACTTTGGTACCCCATGGTGGAACAGACTCTCACACAAAGCCTGTTACTGTAACAGACGTTGAGTACTCATGTGATTTATTGAATACAGTACTGGAAATGAAAAGCAGAATGGTTCTGTGTGCATGCCCCGAACTGTTGCGAAGTGTGAAATCCTTGTGATCTGGGCACAGGTTTTCTGGATCTTTTAGCTTCTTACTACAGATTTTGTGCTGATTTCCGGTGGGCGCCAAACTGACGGTTGAAAGCTGCTTTTTGTTTGTTTATAGAAAGTGGATGGATTTCACCCATATTGCAATACAGAGTGAGGAGCGCAGTGACATTTTCCACCCTCCTTCTTCCTTATTTCTTTCTTATTTCTGTTTTTAGCAATAGCGTATTTTCTTTTTACTCCACTCTCACAGGTTCAACACTCCAGCAGGTAAGGATATCAGCGTAGGGAGGAGAAGATAAACACTTAGACTTTATGCTTCTTAGGAATCCTGTCAGCAATACTAAAATCCAGCGATGTCAGCCTCACGCCTGTAGATTTTTTTTGTGTGTGTATTTAGCATTGTCATAGATTAAGGAAAACATTTCTGTCCCAGGGACTGTCTTATTTCACTAACATAACGGTTTTGTAATTATATCCACTTAGTCACAAAGACAGTATTTCATTGTTTTTCATGGCTTGGTATTTCACACTATTCACATACCACATTTTCTTGACCCAGTTGGTGAGCACCTCGGTTGAGTCCGTGTCTTAGCTATGTGGGTTGATCAGCCTAAACACGTACGCCGATTTCAATCCACTGAAAGTCCCACCAACACTGGAATAGAATATCTTTTCTCCCACATCTTCATCAGAATTTATTGTCCTGATTTTTGGAGATTAACCATTCGAAGTAGGTGATGTAAACCTCACTGTATTTTTTTTTAAGATTTTTTTTTAAATTGGAAAGTCAGATTTACAGAGAAGGAGGTCAGAAAGATCTTTCATTTACTGGTTCACTCCCCAAGCAGCTGCAACAGCTGGAGCTGAGCTAATCTGCAGCCAGGAGCCAGTAGCTTCTTCCAGGTCTCCCAGGCAGCTGCAGGGTCCCAAGGTTTTGGGCTGTCCTCAACTGCCTTCCCAGGCCACAGGCTGGAAACTACAAGGGAAGTGGAGTAGCCGGGATATGAACAGGTGCTTCTATGGGATTTTGGCCTCGAGGCTACCGCACTGGGCCCTCACTGCAGTTTTAATTTGCATTTCCGTGATAACTGGTGAATCTGAGCATTTTTCTCATCTATCTTTAGGCCATTTGAATCTCATCCTTTGAGAAATGTCTGATCATGTCCCACGCTCATTTCTTTTGTTTTAGATTCAGAATCTTACTGGAAGCTTTTCAAAGGCAATCATTTATCAATAAAAATAGTTGAGTCCCTAAGAAAGAATCCATCACATGAAAGCATATTGGAATGCTGTAAATAACAAAACAGCATCACTGTAAAATAGCAATAATACTGACAGTCGTGGCGAAAACCTGGGGGTCCTTTCCCAAGGGCATTAGTCCTCTGTTGCAGTTCTCCGCTGTTTGCTCCTGTTCTGTGTTGCCTCTTGGTGGAGAGTTACCCCCCGCAGTGCAGGGGCTTCTCCAGTGGATGCAGTCTGGTCTGGCTTTAGTTGTTGTGCCTTGCTGGACTCCTCCGCAAAGTCTTTCCTCGTGTCTGTGTCTTGCGGTGTTTCCCTGTGATAATTTGATGGTGTAAGGTCGCGGACTTAGATTCTGGATCCATTCGGAGTTTTCTACATTAGATACATACATAGGGCTCTTGGTTCATACTTGTGCACATGCACATCCAACTTTCCCAGTACAACTTATTGAAGGCACTGTTCATTCTCGCTGGATTGATTTCAGTTTGTTTGCCAAGAAAGGAGTTGGCTCTGGATGTGTGGGTTCATTTCTGGGATTCCTGTTCTGTTCCATTGATCGTCATGTCTCTTCTTGTGCCAGTACCAGGATGTTTCGATTACAGCCGCCTCAGAGGACATCTTGAAATCTGGCATTGCGATACCTCCGGCTTTGTTTTTGTTGTTTAAGGTTGCTTTAGTTATTCAGGGTCTCTTGTGCGTTGGTGTGAGTTCCAACATTGTTTTTTCCAGGTCTGAGAAGAATGTCCTAGATATTAGTTAATTGCCTCAATAACTTGGACATTTTGATGACTTTAATCATACCAATCCAAGGGAATACAAGGTTTTCTCAAGTTTTGTTGTCTTATTCTGTTTGTTTCTCTAATGTTTTATAACTTTAACGGCAGTGACAAATCCCTCACATCCTTGCCTAAAGTTATTCCGACTTGTTCAAACATTTTTGCAGCCATGATGAACAGATTCATCTTTTACGTTCTTAGCTGTGGCAAGTGTCTGTGTATATAAATTTTACTGATTTTGGTCTGTTGATTTTATATTCTGCAACTTTATATTCTGCAACTCTACTAAGTTCTCTCACGAGTAGAGAATCATCAATTACCAATCATCTGCCCTGGAAGAGTGTCTGCGTTCCCCTATGTATGGTTCTTGCCGTCTGCCAACGGAGACTTCTTCCTTTTCTGTGTCCTTTGATTTCTGTTTTATTGAGCTGGTCGAGCTGGTGCTGCTTACGATAGAAGGGCTCCCGGTGGTAGCAACAGCAGCTGGCTAGAGAGTCACGTCAGGAAGTTGGTCCTAGAGTTAATTTATGCAGCATCTTCATATTTCTCCCACAGCAAACGGTACCATGTATAATATGTGTAAGTTTTGGTAACTCAGGTCTTTCTCCTGAGCACTATAAGAATAATATCTCTATCGCTCTGCGTATTACGCATCCAGGATCTGCTGTTTTCTTAACTTATTTTGATGTTTTTGGCTACACTCTCTGGGAATGTTGATCAAATTGTCACAAAATGAACACACACACACACAGACCCATGTAGTTCAAGCTGGTATTGTTCAGGGACCAGCTGTTTCTATAACGTCAGCTAGTCCTGTAGGAGAACCTAGCATGGGTCAGGGCATTGAGGCCGTGGAGGTGGTGCCAGGAAGTGGAGGGGAAAAACAGGAACTGTGATGGCCACTCAGCCGTGGACGTCTGTCACACCCTCCCTCCTTCCTGCACCCTCCAATAGTGGCCGAGTTTCAGCCCTGGGCAGGCAGCCGAGGGGCAGTGTGGATGCATGGAAGAAGACGTGTCCTGTGCCCTTCAGAGGGTACAGTCTGGAGGGAGGGAGGCAGCTGAGCCGGAAGTGTGTACACACGCTCCTGATTTCAGGCAAAAGGCCGAGAAGTGGTCATGCTCATAGTTTCTACCCAAGCAAGTGGAAGGTGCCCGAGGAGTCATGCCTGGCGGACGAGGGGATGTACGTGGCGCCGTGGAGGCTGTAGTGTTGTGGGAGGAGAGGAGGGAACTGCAAGCAGTAGGGAGAGGCCAAACAAAAGGCTCAGGGTCTGAAAATGGGGTTCAGTTTGAGAAGGGATCATGGGAGCCTGGGGAATGGCTGTGTGTGTGTGTGTGTGTGTGTGTGTGTGTGTGTGTGTGTGTGCGAGAGAGAGAGAGAGAGAGAGAGAGGGAGAGAGAGAGAGAGAGATACCACTGGACAGGAGGAGGAAAGAGCCACAACGATGCTGCTGCAGTTTGTGTACTCGTGGAATGAACCAGCAGGTGGAAGATCTTTCTCCTCTCCAGAAATCTGATCTGCCTTTCAAATAAAAATAAATCTTAAAAAAAAATTTTTTTTTTCTATTTGAAAGAGCAACAGAGATCTCCGATCTGCTGATGTATTCCCCAAGCCAGGAGTAATGAACTCCATCCAGGCCTCCCCTCACCTGGCGCCTTCCCAGGCTGGCTCAGAAGCACGCGAGAGGGGACTCCGACTGTCGCTTCCTGGGATGCTGGTGTTGCTAGCAGTGGCCCAACCACTGCACCATGGTGCCAGCTCTGGCGGCGGAGATGGGACGGCATGGGCAGTGTGTGCCCTGCGTGCTGGGCGAGGTCCTGCCCTCTCGCTCCATCTGGCCCTTTGCCTAGCCGCCCAAGTTACTTCACAGTTCTTTGTGTTTGCTGTCTCCCTCCCCCAGCCTTCTCACGGTATGTCAGCTCTATAGTAAAGATGGGAGCAAAAGCTTTAAAATCCATGCAGTTTTTCATATGTGTTTCCCATGAACTTCCTGAATCCCCTCATGGCAACCTGCCATAAATCTTGGTTCAAACAACTTGGGAAACCATGAAGCTCAGATTCCAGTGATGGACCAAGGATTCCTGGCAACTCGGTTTCCTCTTGTTTTAGGCAACCCGCACCTTCCGTCCTGGATAAACAAGGGAAATACAGCCGTGGTTTTCTCGCCTGGCACCTGAGCGACTATGAGGACACAGATCAGAGAAAGTCCCAGGGGGCTGCCCTCGTGAGGCAGAGGAAGTCTCCAGCCAGAGTCTCCGGAGCAGCGAAGCCACCGAAGGCGCCTCAGAAGGAAGAGGTAGGATCCCCAATTACTCTCCACAACCAGAAAAAAAATGACTGTCAGTAGTAGTAACTAATGGGAACCAGCAATGCGAAGCAGTGGGTTAAGCTGCAGGCTGTGGTGCTGGCATCCCCCGAGCATCAGTTCCAGTCCCAGCTGCCCCAATTTTAATCCAGCTCCCTGCTAATGTGCTAAGGAAGAGAGAGATGGCACAAGTGCATGGGCCCCTGCAACCACCATGGGAGACCTGGAAGGAGTTCCAGGCTACTGGTTTCTGCCTGGTCTAGCTGCTGGCCACTTAGTTCATTTGGAAAAACATACCAATGGAAGTAAGACAAAATGGTTCAATAGTAAGTGCAATCCTAAGCTTCAGTTTTGTGGCTCCTTGTCTTTCTCAGAGTGAGCGACTGCAGAAGGAAATCTGCTCTGCTTAAAGGCTTCTTGTAATGTCGATCTCATCTATAACAGCTTCTTAGCCCTACCAGCCCTGCATGGCCACAGATGAGCTGCAGGCACAACCCAGTAAACCAAGGAAATTTACCATCCTATGGGCCTCGTGTCCACTGAGCACTGGGGTTCTTTCTGGAGGCCACATATCTGACCCAACAGGCCAGCTCCTGGCGATCTAAAAGGCAAAGTGCTGTGCCTCCCTTACGCCTGAGCTGGAGTCCACCAGTGGCCTCCTTCAGACATCACAGAAAACACTCGATGTCTTCATTAGCTGCTGAAAGGGTTCTGGAGTATGTAATCACTCCTGCGGTCCTTAGTGTAACTCAGGCATTAAACTGAAACAGATTTAAACTTATTTTTCCTAACACCATATACACACATATATGCATACACATACTATATACAAATGGGTATTCACTTCATACCTATGGATTCCACCCTATTTCATTTAGAATATTTTGGACTACTCCCTTTAATACCTTAATACTCGAGCAATTTAACCTAGCCACATACATGGACAACTTCTAGCAAGCTAATATTTTGCCTTAATTATACTACTTAAAAAGCAACGTAAAACAGGTTTCGTTCTAAGTGTTAGGGCACTAGTGGGTTAGAAAACATCCTGAAGCACAAGTCTGGCTGCAGGAATAGACTCAGCAGTAGGGAGGTAGTGTACTCCACTGGGGACTTAAATTCCACACACAAAATACCAGAGTTGTTGGCAGTGTGGTTTTCTAAAAGTCCATATACTTTTGGTAAAGAGCTAATGACAATTTATTTGAAATTAGAACGACAGAGAAAAATGAGATCCTTTACCTGCTGGTTCACTTCCCAAGCGGCCACAGCAGCCGGGTGCGGGCCAGCCCAAGCCAGCCGTCAGGAACCCCCGCCTGGTCTCCCGCGTGGGTGGCAGGGCCCGAGGATTTGGGCCACCCCCCAACTCCTCCCCTGGCACACGAACAGGAAGCTGGGTCCAAAGCAGTGCAGCCCAGACTCAAACTTGTCACTCCAACAGGGGATGGTGCCATTGCCAACGGCTTAACCCACTGGACTAATTCTTATGAAAAGCATTGAGCCTTACAGGACAAAATCTCCCCTCAGTTGATATAATAGTTGCTTTTCTGGAAACGTCAGTGTTAGCTCATGTAAAGGTCACCAGGCACTGGGAGGATTCTTCATTTCACAGGGTTGTCCAAAACGCTGCAGGGTCTCGCTCCTGTCCCTGGCCACCTGTGATGCTCCCACAAGCATCCCTGCAGTTCCACAACACTGCCACGTTATATACCACAAGTGTGCTATTGGGAAAGAGATCTCTAAGTCGGTTGTATTTGACAAATGATGCACTGCGTTGGCAAAATGTTGCGGATAAATTCAAAAGGTTTATTGCACCAAATTCCAGAGAAATGAATCAAAATAATACAGGAACAAATTGTGAATAGCCCACACATTGACACTGGTGTCCATTCAGCTGATCAAAAGTCTGTAGAGCCCCATCCATTTCTATTCTGGGGACTTCAGTAACATTTGCAATTTATCTCCATTGTAACCAACATTTACATTTAAGCATTTTGTAGTCTTACTTCTGAAATTTAAAAATGAACATTTGGGTGGGGGCTACTGTTTGATTTAGGCAAAAAATTAAATGAAAATATTCTCTCCCTCAAAGCCCAATTTTTCAAAAAAAAAAAATTGGTTTATATGAACCAAGAGAAACTAAAGATTTTTTTTTTCCATTTAATGGCGAAATGGTGAAAGTATCCACAAACTCTAAAAAGTAGATTAGTGAAAAGATATGCAAATGAGTTCTGGGAGATATATATATATATATTCCAAAGTGTACATGAACCTTAGCTAGGAGCCTAAAACAGCTACAGAATGGATTTTTATAAAATCTCAGGATCTGAGTCCAAGCAATGGTTTAATATTGTTTAACAAGCAGGGAATTTTCCTCCCTCCAAAAATGTTAATTTTGAAAATATGGTTATGTTGAAAAAGTTGTGGTGTGTAAACGGCAGTTCCATGACATATGAAAAGATTATAGTTTTTCATTAAAAAACAGCACACTTCAGAAAAATGGATTGAAGCCTGTACAAAAAAATGCTATTTAACACTGATAAAAAAAAAAACCCACTTTGGAATTACGCACAAGTATGGAAACTACATTTTTTCATTGTCATGTTGAAAACACACGCGGCTACCTTACACTCATACCACTGGTGAATGTTCCAAATGCAACGTGCACGAGGCGGCCTGTCGCAGGCACGGGCGTCTGCTCCATCATGCTGCACCAGCTTGCCTGGGAAAGCAAGAAGCTACAGAAGTGACACTCAACAGGTAAGACTGAAGGTTGAAGAAACCCTGAAGGTGGAATCCTGAGGTAGATCCTTTTTTATTAGAATTTTCTTTTTCTTGAGGTGGGGCACACGGCCGGGTCAGCTCGCTTTCTGCAGCTGAGCTGTGTGAGCGGGTGCGTTTCAACGATGCCATGAAGGTGTTTTTGGCTTGTGGGAAGTCTCCATTTCAGCCTCGAGTGTTGAGACGGAGGACTGCAAAAGAGCAGCGACGATCTCGAGCTGTCTTTGCACACAGCAGGATCAGGGTCGGCTGGAATCCTGGCTGTGGCTCAGCCTCCTCGTGACCCACCTGCGCTTCCCATCAGACGCTTCTCTGAGCATTGTGGAATATTAGGATGATGCCGTCCCAGGCTGCTGGGGAGGGGCAGGCCAGGACACATGCTTCGGGTGTCCAGTCTTACGATCCGCTGTGAGCTGAAGCTCTGTTTTTCCCTACATGGGTCTGATCTTCAACATACTGCGACGAGCACGTTGTGTAGTGAGATTTTCTTCTTTAATGACCCCTGGACAGTGGTGAAGCAGGCAAAACGCCTAGAACGTGTAAACAAAGACGAGGGCTGCCGGGCAGGTGGGAGGAATGCTTCCCGCGGGAGCGGATGGAGAGCTGAACGCCGGCGCTGCAGGTGTCTTCGGGAGGTAAGGAGAGCTCGGCGAGCTGAAGCCAGGCGAGCGAGCTTCGTTCTCTGGAACGCGACAGCAAGCAGCGGTGACCCAGGGCTGCAGGACCCAACGATGCCAGGCTCGAAGGTCAGGCAAGGGAGATGGGCAGAGCACAGAAAACGGGAAACTTCTGTGTGGTCCATCAGTCTGTATCTTGCACCATAGCAGAAGAGGGAAAGGTTCTATGATGCCTGTCTTTTTGGAGTGCTGGAGCTCCCTTTGAAACGGGTAACTTCAACGTCCAAAAAGACGTGCAGGTGACTTGGTGACAGCTTTTCTCTCCAATTCTCACCCTGAAATGGGACGTTACTTCACATTATGTGCAAAGAACTGGAATGAATTCATACATTAGCACAGAAGGAGAACTTGGTCGGAGCTAACACGAGGTTGGCTCCAGCAGGCCCTGCCTCTCTGCGTGTAGCCCGTCGCATGTCCACTCCGTTGGTTTTTGTGAGCTGCAATAGTTCACTTGGTAGGTTTTATACCAGGGTGGCTTTGGGAACAAGTTCTGAAGAGTTCACAGGGGTCGGAAGGCACAGCGACAATCATGTGAAAATTGAGAGCGTACGCAGAGCATGCTAAATGTTCAGGCTGCTTTCATAATCTTCCTAAACTCCTGCAGGTCTCCCACCAGAACAACGGTGCCTTTCAAAACGCAGACGGTCCTTTCTGGGCGCCGCTCTAGCAGAGACGAGCTCCGGCTGAATGGGGACACGGCAGACGCGTTCCGCAGCTTTAACTTTGGTGTGGGACCTCCCCGGGGAAGGCTGCTGAGAGCCCCGAAGGCAAGGATGAAACACTCGTACTGTTTCACACCGCACACAGGGGGCTGCTGCGACTGTGGCGTGGCGGGGCTCAGGTGCTACACTGAGTACACTGCACCAGTGGTCCGTCCCCGGCCTGCCCCTGGCTCCGTGTGAACGCCAAACGAGGGGAGAGTGGGTCCCTGCAGCAGAGCGACGACAGCAGCTGGCAGCAGGCAGGGCGGCTAGTGGGGGAACCAGGAAGATTTCTTCATGTCACCCTTTGCAGAAAGGCAGCTCCGACCTGCTCTCCTGGAATGTGAGGTATGCCCGCTGGTGCCCAGCTCCCCGGCCATGTTCCCACTCTGCCCCAGGCCGCTTGTATCCACAGCTTAGTGTTCGGGGTAGTGCTCCTGTGTCTTCATTCCTGGGGATCCCTGGCTCCAAGGGCCCACCGTGCTCCCAGGGATCACCGAGGCGTGTCTGTCCAATAAAGCTGAGCTCCTGTGCGGAAGCGCAATCCCCCAGGGCGTGGGAACGGCTGCTGTTGGCGCTGGATGCTTTGGGTGTCACACGGCTTACTCCTTTCTCCTTCAGCTGAGAAATTTAACTTTTTTTTTCCTTCCAAGGAAGAAAACTGTCCTGAGCTTTAGCTTATAAGAGGATTTGAGCCACGTAAGGAGAGTGCGTGCTGGCGATAGCTGTCAGCAGAGGCAGGTCGTTGGATTCAATCCTGCAGAGGGGAGACAGAGCACTTTAGTGTGACTGGTACCAGGCCTGCCTTAGATGACGGTTCAAAACGAATTAAAAATTAAGGTCGCTGGCATTGTGGTCAACTTACTGCCGAGGAGGCAAAGGGACACAGACCAGGGGGTGTACGGCCCACCCGAGTGGGCAGGGACCACCTGACTGCAGCCCTAACTTTTCTGAGTTCCTGGCTAGTACAATTTCAATTGACTTGTATTTCAGCTCTCCATCTGCTTAGGCTGCAACGTTCCTGAGTGCTGACTTTGCATCTGGGTGGGGTTTCTTCAATACCTTGAGGATCTGACCAACGGGTGACCCAGCTTAGATCCCTGTGAGTATTCTGAGAGCAAAGCAACACTAAATGTTTGAAACCCATGACATTGGCTGCCTCTCCTAAGAGATGGGGACAGGATGGCCACTGGCTAACTGCTGCCAAGTGCAGTGGAGAAGGACTAAGAATGGATTGTTCTGGTCTGTAGACTGTGTCCCAATTCTTGCCCTTGAATTAAAAATAAATGTAAAGATGGCAGCGGTCATGGCCAAGGGCAGCTCCCTGTTCTTCCTCCTGTTCTTCCCAACGTCTTGTAGCACTGCTAACCCTGCCTATGGGAGGCTAGAGGTGAATGCCAACGGGAGCTGTGTTCTTAGGGATGGTAGACACCTGTCAAGCAGGGCCTAGCTAGAAATCTAGAATGTGGGCCCGGCGCCGTGGCCTAGTAGCTAAAGTCCTTGCCTTGAACGCGCCGGGATCCCATATGGGCGCCGGTTCTAATCCCGGCAGCTCTACTTCCCATCCAGCTCCCTGCTTGTGGCCTGGGAAAGGAGTCGAGGACGGCCCAAAGCCTTGGGACCCTGCACCCATGTTGGAGACCCGGAGGAGGTTCTTGGTTCCTGGATTTGGATCACCGCAGCACCGGCCGTGTCACCTGGGGAGTGAATCATTGGAGGGAAGATCTTCCTCTCTATCTCTCCTCCTCTCTGTATATCTGACTTTGTAATAAAAAATAAATCTTTAAAAAAATCTAGAATGTCAGGTACACCCCGGGCTGTGGCAAACCTGAGCAGCTGGGACTGACAGAGAAGTGAGAAGGACCTGGGGAGGCTCAAGTTTCCTGCACAGCCTCATAAGGAGAAATGTAAGGAAAGAAAATGACAGAAAATGCAAGGAGCCAGACAGTCATTTCCTGGGTGTGAAAGCTGAACAGCCTGATAGAATCTGGGCTTTGACATCCTAATACTCAGATGAGCAAACTCAACAGAATTTGAAGGTCAATATCACCCCCAAATTTGTAGGTTAGCCTCCTGGAAGTCCAGAAGCGCCTAATGGCAGCTCCCCCAGGAAGTACACGCCAGCGTAGGCTGCACTGCGTGTGTCACAGCTGTTCAGTGTCTCTGGCAGAAATGGAATCACCCAGGAAAAAGACAAGGTCAGCAGGCTCCAGGTAGCTACAAGGTGCTGCTTTTCTCGTGTCTTATGGCTTCCTGGGCTTGTAGGTGCAGGGGCAAGAGTAGGAACCCAGTTCAGAACTTACCCCAGGATGACCCCCAATTCTTTCACGTGGACTCGGGTGTGTCCCCGAAGATACTCGGAGAGCATTTTACTCTTAAGGTACATTTCTTGTAGCCGGTCTTCAAGATGCATGATGCACTGCAAAGTCAAGCACATTTACCAAGAGTTAGCAATTCAGATCTGCAGTGTCAGAGGTTACAATTCTCCCCATTTGAGCCTAAAGCAAGAAATTGGAAAGGCATCAAATAATTAACAAGGCATTGCATGAATTGAGAAAAGTGAGAACCCCAGATTAGAGAAATGAGTAAACCAAGTGAGAGATCAGTGAAATGAAGGGCTGCTGTTTTCAACAATAAAAACACAAAACTGATATAGCATTTGCTCGATTAACCAATAAAAGGGGAGGGAGCCCAGCACAATAGCCTGGTGGCTAATGTCCTCGCCTTGCATGTATCAGGATCCCATATGGGTGCCAGTTTGTGTCCCGGCTGCTCCACTGCCCATTCAGCTCCCTGCCTGTGGCCTGGGAAAGCAGTGAACGGTCCAAAGCCTTGGGACCCCGCACCCATGTGGGAGACCTGCTCTGGATCAGATTGGCTGCGGCTATTTGGGGTGTGAACCAGTGGACGTAAGATGTTTCTCCATTTTGCGTATCTGCCTTTCCAATGAAAATAAATCTTAAAATGGGGGGTGGAGGGGAGGGTAGGGGGAAGACTCAAATTAGTAAAATCAGAAATGAAGGAAATGTTACAATGGATATCACAAAAAGGCAAAAAACCAAATCAGCTATAATTGAACAAACTGGAAAATAAGAAATGGACTTCTGGACTGACACAAAGAAAGTCTAAATAAACCAACAGCCAGCAGGAAACTGGAATCCTTAATAATGACTTTCCAAGAAAAAACCCAGGACCAATTTGATGGCTTCACTGCTGAATTAAACTAAGTTTTCAAACTACTCAAACCAGAAGGGGAGTATTCCCAAACTGTGGCAATGAGGCCAGCAACACCTGAATCCTAAAGCCAGAGCAAAGGAACTATAGACCAACACTCCTGATGAACATAAAATGTAAAAATGTTCAACAAAATGTCAGCAAATCAAATCTAACAACACACGGCTCATTCACCCAGACCAAGTGGTGCTTATTCCTGGTATGCTGGGATAGCTCAACTTCCACACATCAATAAATGGGACACATCACGTGAACAAGACCAAGAATAAAAACCGTATGATTATCTCAATAGATGCAAAGAAAATATCTCCTAGCATAGAACATCCTTTTATGACAAAAACCTTAAACTGGTTATAGCAGGAACATTCCGTAACACAATCAAGCCAATGTATGGCAAACTCTAAGCATTCCCAGAGCCAGACAAGGCAGGCCACCCTCACCCTTTGCTGGAAGTTTAATCAGAGCCATTGCACAAGGAAAAGAATCCAAAGGCAGGGGTCAGCACTGTGGCATGGTAGGCTCAACCTGCCATGAAATGGGCATCTGAAAGGTGCCTATTTGTGTCCCAGCTACTGCACATCCCACCTCCTGCTTATGGGTTGCAAAGCAGTGGACAATGGCCCGAGTCCTGAGGCCCCTGCACCCATGCAAGAGTGTCCGAGCTCTGGCCATTGTGGTCATCAGGGGGAGTAAAGCAGCAGATGGAAGGTCTCTGTCTCCTCCTCCCTGCCTTTCAAATAAAAATAAATCTTAAAAGATACAAATGGAAAAGGAGGAAGTTAAATTACCCTTATTTGTAGATATATAATCCCATACAAAGGTAAACTGAAAGACTCCACCAAAACTACTAGATTGCATAAGAGTTTGGTAAAGTTACAGGATACAGTAATCAACACAAAATAAATGGAAACATCTCCCATGCTCATGGATTCAAACAACATCAAGATGCCCATAGTACCCAAGACAATTTACCAATTCAAGACGATCTCAAATCTGGGGAAAAAAGAACAGACCCTACAACTAATGTAATCATTAGCGATCTGAACAGCTAAAGCAATCCTGAACAATAAAAAGGCAACTGATAGAATGAAAGTATTTGCAAACTGTATACATGATAAAGAATATATAGGGAGCTAAAGAAACTCAAAGTAAGTAATCCATTTAAGAAATGGGCTAAGGACATAAACAGGCATTTTTAAAAGGATGAAATACTAATGGCCAATAGGCACATGAAAAAATGCTCGGGAATACCAGCACTCAGGGAAATAGAAACCACACAAAGAATGGCCATAATCAAAAACAGTAAGTGCCAGCAAGGATGTCAGAGGAGGGTAGTGCAGTACGTCAGTGGACATGTAAACCAACCATTACGTAGGAAAAATGGAGATTCCTCAGACATGTGAAAGCAGATGTACCATATGACCCAGCCATTTCATCCTTGGGCATGTACTTAAAGAAATCGGTATGTGAAGGGGTTACCTGTGCCCCCATGTTTACAGTTTGTAACAGCTCACAATGGCTTATTTAAGTCCATCAGTTCTTGAATGGGTGAATACAACGGAATACTAACATAAATGCAGTAAAAGGGATGCACCTGCTGATCACCATGCTTACTAAATAAAGCAGTCTCCAGACAAATATGACTCTTGTGCTTTGCGGTAACAGTACAAAAAAGTTATGTATATGAGCAAAATTAATATTTTAAGATCTGATTCTTGTTTATACTCCTTGTTGGAACTCTAAAGAAGAGTGGCTTTTTTGCTTACTACTAGTGGGATTCTTTAGGAGGGGAGGGGTACGCTTTGGATCGCAAGGTGAAGTTAGAAGTATGTCACTGTCAGAAACAGGAAGGAAGGAGGAGATTAACACTGTGCTCTTAGAACTGTATATATGAAATACATACACTTTGTTCTTACATAAAGCAATTCTCAAAAAATTCATTTCTAAGCATTCAAATGCATTTAAAAATTACAAGCTATCTTGGATTCGCCTACCACCATAGGTATGAAAACTGTTTTTGCAAAATAGTTTTTGCAATGATTAAGATCTTCAAATATACTCTCACCTTGTTCATGTAGTTTACATAAGAAATACAACCCCCTGCTTAATCATACAGCAATTTGCATTTTTTCATAGATCTCCGATTATTTGGTTCCAACATATTCCTACAAGTAGAATGATTGAAGCAAGGTCATTTTTGGACATTTTTTTTCCTCATTAAAGAGTGCAAGTTAACCAGGTCTTCTGTAGCAATAAAAAAAGGCATTATTTTCAGGATGTCTTTACCCTTGGAATTGTGTCCAGTTTCATTGTTTTGGAGAATAGCAACCATCTGTGTCTTTCACCAGAGGCAAATGCTTGTGCTCTGGCAGGCTGAGCATCCTCCGCAAGACACCTGATGGCTCTGGCAAGGGTAATTGCATCATACACAATTTTCTTCTAGACCATTGGGTCTGTGCTTTTCAAGGTAAAAAAGATTAACAGATGCATTTGAAAATGTTGATCTGGACCCATCTGGGCTGATCAGTGACTTGGAACAACCCAAGTATTTAGATGCCTGCCTTCTTAGTGTTGGATGATCAGACAGAACTGTGCTGGCCTTTCTCCCACCTTTCTAGTATCTCCTTCCTGAGATGGATTTTTTGCATTTTTAACTTCTAAAATTTTAAACAGTAACTTTCTCCCTCCCTAATACAGGATCTTACAGCATTTCATCACCCATGTTCTAAATAAAATGAATTTTTAAGAATTTTAAACTGCCAGATAAAGCTTTCTTTGGTCTTGGTTTTGTCAGGTTCAGTAAGTCATTTATACCACGAAATGGTTAAACGTACAGCCGTCCAAATAAAGTCAAAAGAATTAGCTACACTAATTTCTTGCTTTGCTGTCAAACGTAGTCAAAGCTCTGTATTTGGAAATGCAAGATCAAAGTTCGGTAAGTACTCAGAGCAGTGAAAGACTTTTCAGTCTAACGTACCTTGCTTTCCTTACAGAGAGAGAGGTGTTAGTCTGCACATCAGCATAAGCTGACCTGCTTCACAAAGACAACCTGTGCACAAGTAGACCAAGAACTAAGTTCACCAGGACTCCTGCGTGCTGTGGCGGGCATCCTGCTGAGTGTGCCTGGTTCAAAGCCCAAATAAAGACTGCTCACACTACCAGTGACCGCGTGCCGAATGCTTACACCATGCAACACTGCGCCGTGCTTACCGTCTCAACCTTCAGAAGCATGACACAGGCTACATTACTCCCCAGCTCCGCAGTGGCTTTGAGATGGATTTCTCTTCCACAGTAAGGACAAGACCTTGGACCTGACTTCAGGCTGCTGGACCCGAAGTCCACCCAGTGGCCACTAACGTGCACAGCTTTTCAAGTGCTCTGCGGGCACGCAGCTTTGAGGCCTTTCAGAGGCGTCTCACAGGATACTTCAGAATGCTGAAGTTCACAAACTCTGCCCACTGGCCTGTCAGAGTGACCGACGGCAAAGCCTGGCCACCAATGGTATTTCAGAGCACCTCTTCCAACCCCAGGAGCCTCGAGTCTCTTTGGACCACTCTGTTGGCCCTCGGTTTGCTCCTCGCTGGTTGAGCGCTCTCTGTGCAGCTTGGAGGTGCCCAAGGAGGGAGCCCAGGGTCTCTGGCATGGGGCACCACCACGGCCTCCAGTTTCTCATCTGCTTTGAAGACATGCTCCCTCCCTGTCTAAACCTACTGCCCTTTTCACACAGGCTGTTTGTACACACAATCTTCTGAAGCAGTTTGTGGTGGCTGTTAATTCTGAGAAGGGCAAGGGAAAAGCTGCAGGCCATCTTCTAGAAGTTTATAATAATCTGCTTGTTTAGATACAAAATAATGTCCCAAGTGATTTGAAAAGCCCATTTGAAAACAAACAGTTGCAGCCATGTTTCATGTACAATACTTCAAAGTGAAGTGTGGACACAAACAATGCTGTGTTCCCTCAGAGCCCCTCTCGGAAGGTGGCTGAACAGAACAGACCGTCCCTTCAGAACCTGGCTGCCCTAACACCCCCCCGAGACCAAGAGTCAATGGCTTCTCCATGGAGAACCTGAAATTTCCTTCCATGCTTGGCCTTCCCCCTGTGCCTGACCCACACTGCACCTCGCCCTGGGAGATCTCAGAGCCACCCATGGCATCTGGCCCTGGGATGGCTTTTGTTACTGAAAGCTATCCTGCTTGCTGCTTTCATGTTGCATGTTCCATTTTAACTCATCCTAACTTTTATTTTCCCTTTTTAAATGACATCTGTATTTGCGATTTTGAATCTGGAACGTTGCTAAGAGTCATTTTTTAACTCCGTCCCTTGGTGACGTGAGAACAAATACTTACAAAGTCCGCAGGGAGGTGAAGCTTGTAAAGCTGTAAAATGGACTGAAGCAAACTGGACACCTGACTGGAGACCAAGACGTCCTGGCCCAGTTTCATGCTGTCCGTCACTTTCCTCTGACTCGTGGCCACCTGGACGCTCCACTTGTCTGTGTCTGCAATAATGCAGACGGCTTCTGCTATTGGCTCATCGAGCACGGGATGCTGCAAGAGAAACACAGTGGCATCACCGCTCACAGCACCCCAACAAGACACTCAGCATGTGCTCAGGGTTCCTGGGTAGCAGAGTCACGCTCCAGAAACCCAGGGTGGCACCTAGAGACTCAGAGCTGGACAAGGACTCACCCACGAGCCTCATTCAGTGTCACCATTAAAGATAAAATGATAAAATGACATTTAATCATTGCTTTCCTTGCAGCCAGGAAGGAGGTACAGTGCAAATGCTGTTAAATGCCTGTAAGGAAAATCATTTATATCCTCTTACCTGCAACCCAAGATACTAAAACTCAGTTCTTTTTGAAAGTCTATATTGTGTAAGAAAGGGGAGAGATCAGAAATGGGCATAGGATGCCACAGCTCTCTCTCCAATCTCAAGGGGCAGGAGACCACTTGCTGCCCCCATGCACGCCTGGCTTCTGTCACTCAGCAAATTTAGTCATAAGCCATCTCCAGCAACCACACACATCAGCCTGAGCCATGTATTTATTCGGGTAAGTAAGTTCAAAAGGTCAGATGAAGCCGACCGAGAAAGTACAACTTCTCAACAACTGGGTAGTTTACAGAGCAAGCTCACAGCTAGCAAATGATACCACAAGGGGAGGCGCAATAAATAGGAAAAGCAACTTCGGTTTTTCAAATCTGGTTTTTCAAAACTGCTCAAAGCGGAAGTGTTTGTCTTGCAGCACCACTGGGCACACACATTTGCATGCTGCACGTGTGTGGGAGGGAGGTAGAGAGCCAGCTGGCTCTCGGGGACACACACATCAGCTCGCCTCTAACCCTCCTTTACCACAGGGAAACTGGCTCAGCCTGTGTCATGTGACTGCTTTCGCTAACTGGTGGTGCTCCTTGGTCCCTTTTGGCTGCTTCTTGTAACTTCCTCCAAAACCTGCCCCGTGATGTCCCTCAAAGGTTAGGTTAAGGCCTAACGGGACCGTATTCGAGCCCTGGCCTCTGTCCCTCAAAGTGAGGACGCCTGGCCTATGCCAGGCCAATGAGATGCTGCTTCCCTGGGAAAACCTACAGGAAGGGCACAGTGGGCTAAAGACCGTTGGCACCACTATATTCCCACCCAGGCGGCCACTAGTACAAACACCGTCCTTGTGTTTTGCCTGTTCCAAGCCTAGTTCTTTGACTTTCTTGTCAAGTCTGTGAATTCCTAAGATCTGTTTTATCAAATCCCTTCTGCTCAAGCTGGGAAGAGTAGGTTATGCTAACCACAGCAGCACTCAGAGACATATACACTCTTGACATCAGACTAGGGCCATCTGCAGTTGGAATTCAGGCACTCCGGGATGGGACCTAAGTGTCAGGGCAGGGAATTTCATGGCCAGGCCAAGGAGCCATCCTGTTCCTGTGTGGTTTGTAACACTTAACACAAGAAGCGGGAAAGCTGCCGGGAGAAATATGATACACTGCCACGCTGTAATTTTAATGAGTTGACTGTAATTCCAAGGAGAGCCCATGGGACTGCTGTGGTGACAGCATGTTAAGCCATGGCCAGCGTTCCATACTGGAATGTTTGTTCAAGTCCTGCCTGCTCCATTTCCCATCCCATTCTCTGCTAACACATCTGAAAAGGCAGAAGATGGGCCAAATTCTTGGGTCCCTGCCACCCATGTGAGAGACCTGCACGGAGTTCAAGGCTTTGGCTTGTCCCAGGCCTAGTCCCCGCCACAACTCTACTGTAGTCATTGATGGAGTGAACCAGTAGCTGGGAGATCATTCTCTCGTTCTTTCAAACTAACAAAATAAAAGGGATCCTACATAACGTTAACCTCCTTACAGATGAGAAAGGAATGGCTAGTGGGCTCTGTACAAACTGTTGGCAGCAACGTGCTTTCCTATTGCAAGAAACAGTAATAATGCAAGGTCTGACGTTCAAACCATCTTCAGGAATAAAAGGATGACAAAGCATCCTTGTGATTTACTCAAACCAGCTTCCCAAGGCAGCTTCCAGTCTGCTGACTGCAGAGAATGGCCTGCCCCGCTCAGCCCTTCCTACACACTCTGACATGCTCTGAGACATCTCAAGACTCAAGGTCTCCTCTGACTTCCTGCAAGCTCCTGCTTCATCACGCTGCGTCCTACAGGGAAAGCAAGTTGATGACAACTCACTCTCAATGTGCCTGCTCCTAGGGAAGAAAAATGGAGGTTTAAGAAGTTACCAGGTTTGTACTTTGAACACAAGCTGCTTCATGGCTCTGCCTGTTGCTGAAAGTTACAAGGTGCTGGTGATGCCACTGAGCCCATCTCTGCTGATCCTGCCAACCTGCCTTCACTAGTGGCCACGTGCCCTCACACGTGAGCTGACAGCAAGTCCATCTTTCACAAATTAAAGTCTAGGTTTTATCACTATTATTGCACTAGATAGTCTGGAACTCAGTTTTCTAAGTGATCGCCCCTCTATTGAAGCAGGGAAGAGCGTGTCACAAATCCAATCCCCCAGAGTCCACAGGCTATAAACTGTACAGTACCACAACCTGCACGAAGAGCTTCACGTTAAGCAATCAATTGCTGGGTTAAGGGCAGTGAGGCTTACCAGAGAGGGAACGGGTGAAGAGTTCTCCAAGAGTAAGCTACAACAGAAACTTGTAGATCTCCGTGTAACAATAGAAACGAGGGACAGAGCAGTTGGCCTCATTTCTTAAAGTAAGTAGGTAAGAGAAATGTACCAAAGCAAATCACGAAAAATGAACGCAAATCACTTTGAAGTCACTGGAGCAAAGAGGCAGAACGGGAGGAGTAAGCGGGGTTGAGTGATCAGCTACTGCAAGTGCACAAGGGTGTGGGCTGGATCCTCCCTCCCTCCCAGAGCTGCTGGCATTTGGGAAATGTCAGTTACAGCAAAGCTGGTAAAGGACAAGTGGATGACAGGGTGACAAGCCTCCTGCACTCTCAGCCCGGGACAGCTGGCGGGTAAGTCCACAAGCTCTAGGAAGCGGCTCAACTTTTTGAGATTATTTTTTAAACTTTCTCTAAGATTTTTACATCTGTACCCCACCATTTCCGAATTTAACAACAAAATTTAGTAACTTCTCAACTGTTTACTAAAGAATGAATACCTTTTAAACACCGAAAGAAATCTGATCAAGAAAGAGCAAGGGATGCCGGGAAGAGATTAAAGTAGCACCAATGGCATTAGGAAGAGCTCGGTGAGCCCCAGGGCACAGACTGCCCGCCGCTGGTCAAGCTTTGAACTTCTAAGAGTAGAAGTTCTCCTGATTCTGGAAATTTCTGGTTATCTTTTCAAACGAAACTCAACCCAGTGAGGGTAGTTTAAACATGGCAGGATTTGGCTTATTAGTCAATCTCTCGAGCTTCTGGAATTTAAAGAACTGTAAGATCCAGAAAGCACACTTAGATCTGTCACAGAGATGCACACATGTCTTGGAACTGGGTTTAAAATCCCACCTAAGGAAAGCTCTAGTTTTTAAGTCATAAGCAGAACCACATACTGAATTCAATGCATTTTTCCTGTAAATTCTATTTCTTACTGAGCAGGGAAGTTGACGCGGGTTTGTGAGGTCAGAAGCTGATCAAGCTCATGGGCACATCAGGGTGCGTGCGCGCACACGCGAGCACACACACACACCCTGCATGGCTCAGTATTTCTAAGTTCTCTTAAGAAATGCTGCAAAGTGTGAATGATTCGAGCGTCCCATAAATGCCTGCTCCTCCCACTCACTGTTGTCAGGGCTGGAGTTCAGGCTTTTCGAGTTGCAGGGGAGAAACCGGGGAAGGCATGGCTGTCATGACGCTAGCATGCGAAGCACAGGTCAAGTCTTACTTCCTCAGGGAGAAGGCAGCACACTGTTGCCTACTTAGGAGCTCTGAATCAAAGTGATTCGCAACATTTCTGTTCTTGATGTTGAGCCCTCTCAAAGGGAGTTGCTACTTTGACTACCACTAAGGGGCGGGGAGCCCCCACACTGTGTAAATTACTATTTATCAGTTTAAAAACTGGTCAAGAAAATCCAGCTACATGTCCAAACCTCGAGTGTGAAGGAACCCCCAGGAGCAGTCCCTAAGGGGCCCCGTTCTGACAGCACCATTGCCTGAGACATTGCCACGCGCGTAACCAACACAGCAAGAGGTGCTCTGAGCCGGAGCCGTCTCCCTGAACACTGCCTTGCAGCCTGCTGATTTCAGTGTGCGTGTGACCTGAGGCGTTTCATGCTGCCTGTGTTACCTGGACAATCTGTCTGCTGGACCTTGCTGGGCCCTAGTGCCCTCCTTACCAGTCCATTACATCTCATGGATTAATTGGGTATTCATGGGCATATATCACAGCCAGGCTTTCAGCAAAGATCCTTATCCGTGCTCCCGATTCCTGTGTGATATTTTTGGAGTCAATCTGTTGCTCATCTCAGAATTAAATGGAAAAGGCTGCTCTATCCAACTGCTACTTCACTTTATATTTTTGAAAAATGCCAGAAGTCTTGAGGCATAGATTAAAAAATTACAAAACTTCTGACATGACTTTTGGTCTTGAAGACCTCACCTTCTCCTGACGATGTCACCAGTGAAGGAAATGTGGACTGAAAATGTGGATGCCATCAGCAGAACACGTTCTGTCCAGTCCGCCTCAACTCGCGAGGGGATGGCAGCTTCGGTAGAAGACCTTGCAGCGATCTGCACGTAACTTTTTAGACTCCGAGAGCCATTTCATTCCTAGTAAAACAGCAGCTGTCATCTTGTTCACCATGACAAAAGCGTGCACTAGCGCCTATTTGTTTACAAAGCATTTTTGTGCGTATTATTTTAACAGTGAGCATTTCTGAGCATTTAGTAATGGGCCAGGCACCATACCAACCACTCGACGTGTGTTCCCTCACAGAACCTTAGATCAAATCCATGATACCAGCACTCTCATGTTACACAGCAGAAAAGCAAAGAAACTTGTCCAAGGCCAAAGAATCACTAAGGGGTGAGCCATGATTCAAACTCGGGCTTCTCTGGCTTCAGCGGGCAAGCTACTAACCCTGGGTTACATGATCTGTTCCTTTAAATTCCCTCTTTTAAAAAAAAATTTTGTTTTTGTAGCTTGGCAATGTCAGTGAATGAGTGGCAGCAGTATTTGACTTGAAGCCACACCATCATAAAGTCAGGCTCTCCCAGCACTTTCCAGTGCCCTTGGGTTTAATAACTTTCAGAATCGCCTGAGTCCGGGGCATTCATAGCAGGGCAAGATGACGGCAAAGCAGCCTGAGGACCCCAGGTCCAGGGCACTGGGGGGGGTGGCAGTCTCAGTCTCTCCTTCGCTTCTCACTTAGGGCCCAAAGGAAAACATTTAGATACGGCAGGGGAAAAAACTCAAACAACATTACTGTACACTAATTTAAGGCAGCTGTATAATCTAGTCTATACGTTAGAAGGCAAAGAGAGAGTTCAAATATCAAAAAAGAGGTAGCATGGAGACTAAACAAGAACACATGTTTAAATATTTAGAGAACATCTGAATCTTCATATGAGAGAGTCAATAACAAAAATGAAAGTAAATGAAGTGAACATATCTTTCCTTCTTAAAACAAAAATGCAAAAGAAACTCCTAGCATTGGACAGTAATTTTACCATAAAACAAGAAACTCCAAACTGGTCCATGGTGGTCCTACCACACAACACAGATGAACTGCCCAAGTCATGCACACACCTGGACATCAGACCAATAAGCTCAACCAACTGCTTTGAAACAACTACTCTTAAATCCTCCTCTGAAAGACAACCGTGACGACCGAAGCCCCACGGGCTCTCACAAGAACATGGAAAACTAACAACGTCCAGGATCGGTTCTGAGACGAGGCATGCCACGGGTCGGTTCCCGTCTCAGGCGAGCGGCTGTGACTCCAGCTCCACTCTGCACGTGTACTTGGACTTGGAGCTCGGCTGCTTCCCCTGATGACACACTCCAGGAACTCATGGAATCACCAGGCCTCATGGAGCAGTAAATATAACATGTTTAAAACGCTCTTAATTTATTTCCCAACAAATATTTATAAATCAAAGTGCAAAGGCTGTTTATATTTTTCTAGATTTTTGATTTAAAGAACACTGCCCTAGACCACATGCCAAGCTGAGCGGCAGCGTAAATGAAACACTACTTCAAAAGCACGATTTATTATGACGAATGTGCCAAGTGAAATCAGAAATCCACTAATGCTAATTGGATATATTCTAAACATATTAAACTTCTGAAGATATGTTTATAGACCCTTCTCAGTTTCCTGTTAACAGCCATGCACGGCTGCGCTGGGCACACCCACACTTGGACTCCATGTAGGCTATCATGCTTACTAACACTTGATCCCTCAGGGAAAGTACATGGGTTGAAGAAATGAGAAAAGCTACAGTGGGAAAACAGGACATCTCAAAGCAAGGGGAAAACCTGAAGTCATGACCAAGTAAACATGGCCATGTTTTTCCAAATGTGACAATTACAGAGAGTCACCATAAAAATATAAACAGGGACCCGGTACAATAGCCTAGTGGCTAACATCCTCACCTTTGCATGCACCGGGATCCCAGCTGGGCACTAGTTTGTGTACTGATGGCCCGCTTCCCATCCAGCTCCCTGCTTGTGGCCTGGGAAAGCATTCAAGGACAACCCAAAGGCACTGGGATCCTGCAATTGTGTGGGAGACCTGGAAGAAGCTCCAGGCTTCTGGCTTCAGATGGGCTCGGCTCCAGCCATCACAGCCAGTTGGGAAGTAAACCAGCGAATATAAGATCTTTCTCTCTGTCTCTCTTCCTCTCTGGAAATCAGCCTTTCCAATAAAAACTGGTCAATATATCTTAAAAAAAAAGAAAGAAAAGGAAAAAACTATAACACATGAAAATCGGCACCTGCCGCCTGTGGGAATCGTAAGCAGTTTTAGGGGTGACCTCACAGGTATGTCAATGCTTCGACTGTGGCTAGTGGGAGATCTGGGGACACTTGGACAGAAATCAGCTCATGAGGGCAGTCCCCTTAGTTCTCACCATGTCCTCTCCTTACGTCAGAAGCAGAACCCTGAGCTTCAGGGAAAACATGTCTAAGAAGCTACCCCGGGCCCGGCGTGGTGGCACAGTGGTTAAGGTCCTCGCCTTGCATGCCCGGGATCCCATATGGGTGCCGGTTCTAATCCCGGCAGCCCCGCTTCCCTTCCAGCTCCCTGCCTGTGGCCTGGGAAGGCAGTAGAGGACGGCCCAAAGCTTTGGGACCCTGCACCCACGTGGGAGACCCAGAAGAGGCTCCTGGCTTCAGATCGGCATAGTATCGGCCGTTGCGCTCACTTGGGGAGTGAATCATTGGACGGAAGATTTTCCTCTCTGTCTCTCCTCCTCCCTGTATATCTGACTTTCCAATAAAAATAAAATAAATCTTTAAAAAAAAAAAAGCTACCCCCGTGTTCTTCAGAGTATCACTGACAGCAAGACGAAGAGGAAAAAGAAAATAGGAATTGGTTTTACAGCTACTAATGGAAATTGAAGTGTCGCACAGAAAGGAAAAGAGGTGTTCTAACTGCTCACCTCAATGACAGCGAGCTACTGCGCACACGCCGTCCAGTCCAAGAAAGCATGACATCACACACTCAGTCGATGCCGTGACATCACACATCACTCAGACGATGCCGTGACATCACACACTCAGACGATGCCGTGACATCACACATCACTCAGACGATGCCGTGACATCACACATCACTCAGACGATGCCGTGACATCACACATCACTCAGACGATGCTGTGCGTGACATCACACATCAGACGATGCCGCACCGTGACATCACACATCACTCAGACGATGCCGTGACATCACACATCACTCAGACGATGCCGTGACATCACACATCAGACGATGCCGTGACATCACACATCAGACGATGCCGCGCGTGACATCACACACTCAGAGGATGCCGCGCGTGAGGGCGCTAGTCTAGTGCTGTGGGCTTTGGTTCAGGGGATCACCCGCTTGATACACAAGCACCCAGGGTCCATCCCAGCTGTGCCAATAAGTTAGGATGTACACAGAGGCAACAGCAACTTTCTAGTTTCGTTCCACCAACGTCTTGGTGAGGGGTGATGTCAGGCCACAGAGCAGCGAGGGTGGGAATGTCTGGGGTCCCACAGGGACCTCGGGGGCACAAGCTGTTCTCGGCTCCGGCAGCCCTCCCTTCACCTCTCAGTGTCCACCCTGCCGGTGGCTGGGGGGAAGTGCCATAAGGATACCCGCCTCCCCAGCAGAGTGGAATATCCTTAACCCGACCAGCTTGCGCCTGATGTCTGGGAAGTCTTCCGAGCAGATGACCGAGATCACGGGCAGCAAGCAATGCCTTCTATCCCACCTTGTTCAGTGAGGGTAGGTAACGAGCCAAATTCCGATTCTCTGAGCACAAGGGGGCTTTCTCTATGAACAACACACAGTATGCAAAACATCTACTTTTGCACATCTGCCCAGCAGCGGCTCAATTAACAAGAGGCCTGTGAGTCGACAGTTTCCTTAGCTGCTCGGTCTCCGTCATGCTGCAGAGAGCAGAAACACACTCCGGCAGCCACGGGGCGATTTTCCAGGAAGACTTGTTCATCTCTACACAGGCATCCTCGTGCAGCAAAGGGAACTTAACGACAAATCAGTTAAAATAAATTACTTTCAGGAACTTGTAAGGATCGCATAAAAAGCAAAGCAAACCATATGTGGCATCTCTTCGGTCCTCCCCGTGACAGGATGTAACCGTTACCATCTGTGTGGGTTATTCTGTTGGCCTGGCCTGCCCAGCCTGTTACCCACCCCCACGGTCCTCCTGGGGCCCTTCCCTGTCCTGGGCCCCAGGGCGCTGACCTCTAGGGACCACAGGGCTGCAGCAGCTGTGACCCTGGGCTCAGCCAGTGGGAGCCCATAGAACAGCACAGAGGCTGGGAGGCAGGGAGAAGCCAGCCAGGCAACCCTCTGATGTCACGGTCCCTTCAAGCCCAGGTGTGCGCTCACAGCTTGAGGGGGAAGGGGTTGGGGCAGGATGAGGGTGGGGCATCACCAGCCCTTGCTGGGTTCTCACAATCCTGCCCCCATCTGGTCTCCGTGGAAACACCTGTTGCCGGGCAGGCGCTTGGCTGGGGCAGGGGCAGCGGGTCCAAGCTGGAGTCACTTACCTGTGCCGTGTGGAGCAGATCAGCTGCCAGGCACTGCTTGAGCCTCTCATCACTGCCGGTGCCGTGAAGCACGAGGTCGGGCATGTACGTGGGGCAGTAGCCTGCCAGAAGCGAGCGGCCAAAGTTCCTGACATTCTGGCTGCTGATGGTCTGCGACCTAGGACAACACGGGGCCCATCAAAACACACAGGTAAAAATGCACTTCCTTTTGGCATCACAAGTGGAACGACAGCCCAACGCAGGGGAAAGAAAACCTCTCCAGGGAGGTCCATCGCACCAACTCTCCATCAGCAGGTAGATCGCCGGTGTCGGGGGGCCAACTGGGGGATGGCAGGAGGAATTAATCCCCCCGCAGCAGTGAAGGGGGGAGGCAGGGGAAAATATTCCCATGGCTGGTGACAAGTTTGTTCTTGTACCTCCTATAGAACACATAGGCGGCCTGTGTCACAAGAGTGCAAAGACAAAGTGTGGCTCTAGCAAGCTCATGTGTCTGCACAGGGTGCTGCCCGGGACAGGCTGGAAGTACAGAGGCCGCCTCTGATGACCGTTCCCAGTCCTCACCGGACAGACAACCAGCCTGATGGAGCATTCAGGCAGTCCCTCCCACTGCTCCGAGCAGCAGGACAGAGGCCTGGGATCAGAGGACAGAGAACTGGGATCTGCCACCAGCAACAGGGCCTCCGCACAGATGACAGGAGACCAGACTCTGCTCCATGCTTCCTGCTGCCTCGGCCACTTGCCACCACCTCCTGGAGCTTCGCAACAGGACCCCTCGGCTGCAGACAGCCACTGGCCCCCCGCGTAAGGAGCTCAGTCACTGTAACCAGCGATCATTCGGGGCCAAGGGCCGACTATATACCATCTCTGTGGATATGATGATGCTTTGGAGATGCAGAGAAAATTCAATTGGCCAACAGTAGCCACAGGATCCTGGGGGTCAGGGCAGGGGGAGCAGGACTGGACCCCCATCCCGTGTCTCCCAGCTGTCCAGCCTTTACCTGGGCAGAGGAAGCTCCACCTCCGGGGCCCCTTCAGTGCTATCCACACTGGGACCCAGGTCCAGCGCGGCTCCAGCACCTGCTTCGTCACCACTGTCCCCAAGGGCGCTGTCCGAGCTTTCGTTTCTGGGGAGGTGTCCTGCTGTCCTCGTGTGGCCCTTCCCGGGGACATCCCCAAGGGGAACATGAGCAGCCCCCGAGAAGCCGGAGTCCTGTTGCTCACCCCGGCTCGGAACAGGCTCTATCCAAGGTCTTTCCTCGCCTTTAACACACAAATCCCCGGCTTTCTGCAGAGCCCCCCTTCCGGTGGCTGCCATACTGCCAGAAGGTGCGAGGGTGTCGGGAGCAAAGCCCAGGCACCCAGCAGCATCTGCTGCCGCCTCGGTTCTCACGCCTCCATGCTCTGCACAGGCCCTGCCAGGCTCCCCGCTGGCTCCCCCACAGCAGCCAGTCTGAGGACAGCAGGCACTGTTCCCCGCACCAGGGCTGGAGGAGTCCCTGGAAGCTGGCTGGTCCCGGACCTCATCAGCGGCCACCGTGCCCGCGGCCAGGGCACCATGGGCTGCCTCCGGAAGCTGCCCGCAGGTCCTTAGCCGCGCCTCCACACTTTGGGCTCGGCTTTCCAAGTCAGACTCTGGTGACACAGAGCTTCCGATGTGGAACGTGACCTTCTCAAGCAGAGGCTGCTGCCGGGAACGGGTGTCAGGGCAAGGCCAGGCCGCCGAGCAGTCCGGCAGCTTCTGGGGCAACTCTGCTCGGGCCTCACAGACAGCTGGGTGGGCTGTCTTCACGCCAGCCCCCAGAACTTCACAGCTGGACAGGAGTACAGAGTCAGCCTCTGGCGCCTCTTCTGCATCTTCCTGAGCTCTGCAACTCCAAGAGTTGTCTACGAATGCTTCCTTGGGGCGTCCCACGCCACAGTCTTCGGAACCCGCGCTTCCTGCCTGGTCCGGCCTGGGACCCAGCTCTCTGCTGTCCGCAGCCTCCGGTGTTTCCAGCACCCCCGCAGACCCAGCGTTCCTACTCTCCGTCGAGGCTGAAGGCAGGACGGGCGGCACCAGAGCAGGCTCGTTCCTCACGGTGACCACCACATACTCGGACTCCTCCACCTCGCCCTTCTCCAAAGCTGTCACGATCTTGCTCCCGTTTAAAACTTGGTCTCCTGCGCTGTGATCCCCGCACCAGCTCAGCTGGTTCTCTTGCAGCTCTGAGCAGCGGAGGAAGTAGGTCAGGACGTAGAGTATGCGCTGGACCAGGTCCTTCTGCTTGCCTAGCACCACGGTGCGGGCCAGCCTCACTGGTGAGCCAATGGCGCCGTACAGGTCACCTGGAGAGGACAGGGGGACACAGAGGCCTCGGGGTCAGCAGGTGGGAGGATGTGCCCTCTGACTCCAACACAACACACCTCGGATTCCTCACTGGGAATCCTTCCTTCAGACTCTCCATTTCCAATCTCTAGGAAAGGCAGTGAATGAAATATGGAGAAACCTGAATGAGCATCCTTTGTTAGAAGAATCCCAAGATGATCTCAATTCTAGGCTATCTTGAAGAGGTGCGCTGAATCATTAACACACTGAACGAGGCACTCTCCTTAGAATCCATTCTTAGTATACTCCCTGCCTACAAACACTGTGCCTATGCAGTTCATCAGCTTAAGACAACCACTAGTCCTGGATAATGAGATCTGAAGGCTGTGTTTTTTACTTCGCATGCGAAGTCTCCTGGGAACAACAGCTCCCCGTGGCTAGGTCCCAACAAGCAGGTTAGAAATCGGCCAATGAGTGTAAGGATGGAGGAGTAGGCCAAATGCAACACTGAGCCACCAGCTGGCCATCGGAAGCAGCTCGACAGCAGCAGGCACATGGCCTGGTGGCGAAGCTGCAGGTTAGCTCACTCCGTGGACAAGGGCCCGGGCTCTGCAGCACGCGCTGGTTCCTGACCGCACGCTCTGGCTGATGCAGACCCTGGGAGGCCTGGATTCCCATTACTTGGGAATGGACTTCCCGGCTGCTGGCTTGGAACTGGCCTGGCCCCAGTACTGAGCCAGTGAACGGGAACGTGTTCTTTCTCCTCAAAAAGAAATATTCAAAATACGTAGACTGTTGCATTTTATATTTCGGTGATAACACTAATAAGAACAACCACAGTAAAGAGCCAACATTTACTGTGTGCACAGGCACGGTACCAAAACCCTCGAGAGTCACCCCATTACGTCTTGGTAACCTAGCACCAGAAATCTGTACTGGACTTTCAAGAAAATGCCACATACATTTCCTTAAACAAGCCTCCTAATGTCCCCTCTGTCTGCTACTGCTGCAGTATCTGTTGCAGCAATCGTATCAATGAGGCCTTAAAGGACTCGTTTACCCCACACTGACCACTAGGCAGCCCCTCTCAAGGCCCTGCGAGGGGACAGAGCAGAGGCCGAGTCACAAGCCCCTAGGGACTGGACTACAGGCAGCCAGGCTCTCCTCCGCCCTGCTGGGTCTCTCCTGCATCCTCTCCACCGAGCAGCTGGTCCCCAGGCTAAGCAGTACATGTACTGAAGTTCTCTGTGCCATCCCCTAGCACAGGAATGGGACAGCACTGAGCGTGAGAGCATCATCTCAAGGACAGTGTTGAGAAACACAAGGTTTCTGATTAATGCTAACACTTTTTAAAAGGTGGTTAAATTATAATGGGTTCTTTCCTTTTTTTTTTTTTTTTTTTTTCTTTTTTGCTGTTTGATCCTTCCCTGGGGCAGTAGTTTTGAACCAGGGTGTATTCTCCACCCGGAGCCCAGGGGACTCTCGAGTGTCTGGAGACTTTTTGACTGTTATACGTATGGGCAGAATGGTTCTCCTGACATCTCCTGAATGCTGGGGTCAGGCACATGGCTAAATATTCCTTCATGCGTAGGATGGCTCTCCCTTACGGCTCTCCCACACCTTCACCAATAAACTATGAGCAGGTTCAGAACACGAATAGCGAGTGCCAAGGTTAGGAAGCCCCGCTCTCGGGTGAACACAATCTAGCTGCACTGCCTGACGAGAGCAGAACAGAGCAGGCACGAGATGAGCAAGGAGGAAGGTGGGAGCTTTGTAAGTAGAATCCACAGGCCATCCTCCAGAGCTTTCAACCACAACTCAGAATGACTGGGTTTGATGCTCGGTGTAAATCGTGACTTGTAGCAGTTTTCAATCCCCTGGATGGTTTCACCCCTACGAACCCAGCTGTGCCCAGAGAGGATTGTAGGGGTGTGTTTTGGCCAGCATGTTCACCGACTGCGAGGTGCGTTTCTCGGAGAAGGCTTTCACGGGAGGGTGGTCGACAGGCATGACGGTCGGGACCCAGGCCAGGTGGTAGGTTAACACAGCAGTCAGTAAGGCAGCAAAAAATCTTAAGGAATGGAAACAACACAACCCGATCAGCACAGGAAGTGGCACGCCCTACACAACACGCACGTTAGCTACAGAGCTCGCGCCCAGGCCTCCGGAGGGCTGCAGCTTACTGGTTTTTGTTCATTTGTTCTATCAGAAGTGTGAACTCCTTGAGGAAGCGCTGGCAGAGTTGAGTTTTTTCCAAAGTGCTGGACATCATGGTAAGCCACACGGGTTCAGCTATCCTTGGAACAGAATACAAGTTTGAGATAGTCCCCCTGTGGAAGAGAAAGAGTGTACAAAAAAGTCACAATCTTATTTTGATTCATCTTGGTATAAAAGAACAAAGGAAATAATAATAATAATACAGTCCTTTACAGTTGCAAGCAGCACATGCAGTATGGACTGGCATACACACACTAGGGTACAGGGTATACTCTATCCTATATGAAGGCCTGGAGATTGGGTTATCCGCACAAGACAAGCACCTAATGACAAAGTCAGGATCACAATTTAGGTCTCACTGCCTGGCATGGCTCTGGGCCGTCCTCGACTGTTCTCCCGGGGCCACAATCAGGGAGCTGGATGGGAAGTGGGGTCACTGGGATTAGAACCAGCACCCATATGGGATCTCAGCTTGTGCAAGGCGAGGACTTCAGCCATTACTGCGCTGGGCCCTCAGCAACTGTTTTTACAAAGCCAATGCAAACCTAGCTGAGACTCCACACTGGGCACAGGAGCACTGTATTTATAAACTTTGAGACATCAAACTTTGCTGGGTCTTCCAAAGTCAAGACACATTCTGACTTGATTTTCCAACTGTGTCCATGAAACAACTGGGACACAACAGAATCCCACCTTTGCAGGAAGCAGCACTTGCTGAGATGGGCAGCAGTAACAAATGATAGCTATATGGCCCTGGATTCACTGCCTAAAACTTGAGGTCTGAGCAGATGCTTGGAAATAGAACCTGACCTGCCTGTGTGCACAGTGGGGCTTTCTCGTCCTGTCCTTTCAGCTTTTTGACCTTTGAAAAACTGACGCTTTCATTAAATGAGGAGCCAGATTCTTAGGCACAAGCCAGACGCTAACCTGACCACAGCAACGCAACAGGCACACCCAGAGCTGCCTCCTTGAACTACGCGAGGTTACTAGTCATTTGGTTGCCAGCACAAAGCACAAGTGCACTTTACTCCTCAAACATGACCTAACAACTGCCATTGAATGACGACCAGGTTCTCTAGTACCTTATACCTAACCTGGAGTACAAAGGAGGGTGATGGTTACACTTCAAGTTGCATTACCAAGCTCACCAGCACACACCTTAGCCAGCACTCCAGGAACTGTCAGATCTCATCTCTCAGTGCGGCAGGCAGTGTGAGGCAGGAGCTCCTGACTGCCTTGTGGGATGCCAGTGCCCACAGGGCAGTGTGGTGGGACAGGAGCCCACCCGCCACCCAGAACCGACTGCCCTTCTACCCAGAAAACCAACCTGCAGGGCCCAACAACCACGCTTTGGAAATGGGCTTGACATACTGGGCTGACTGCATCATGTCCAGAGGAGGGCACTAGTGATAGGACCACGAGTCCAAATTAGGACTGTCCTGCCAAACTGGGACCCCTGACTCCGACAGGTAATGTCTCCGTCCAGGCTTTGGACAAGCGCCACTGAACGTCACGTTTCCATATCTGTTTAAATGAGACTGCTAGTACTTACCCTTAGGGCTTTCATGAGAGTGACGCAATAAACTTACTGGGGACAGCAGAGTACTGAGCCTTTCCATCGACCCTGTTAACTCTCAGGCAAACGTGGAGATTACTTAGTATTGGATTACTGAAATTGTAGCTTAACCTGGTCTGTTTTGATTTAAAAGATTGGAGCTGCTAAAGTGACTAATGTTGGCTAGGCCCCCACTCACAGTCTTCCCAGTAAGGGTTCCTCTGCACCCACACACAGGCCCGCCACGGGCGCTGCTCTGCACCCACACACAGGCCCGCCTCGGGTGCTGCTCTGTAGGATTTTTCAGCTTTGACCACATTACCTGAATTCTCCCAGAGCTTCCATCAGACGGCTGACATAGAACTGGACCCGGAGGCTGGACTCTGCGATCTTCCTACAGGATATCATGGCCTTCACGCAAGAGAGGCAAATAAATGAGAACACGTCCCTTTACCACTGTGCTTCATCAAGAAACAATCGCGGTGCAAGCAAATGACAACACTCAAGGTAGCCAGGAGGGCAGGGTTCCCTTTCCTGGGCCACTCCAGTAATAATGCGGTGCCTGAGGAGCTGTCCCTTAGTGGACGAGTCAGCTCCCTTAAGAAACCATCAGGCATACAAAGAGGTGGGGGCGCCATCTTTAAAGCCCCCCTCATCACTTCTCTATCAGTCGCCGGCCTATGACCTCATCACTTCTCTATCAGTCGCCGGCCTATGACCTCATCACTTCTCTACTGGATCTTGTTACCTTCTCGATTGCACTCTTCAGCCTGTTCATGTGAGACTCAAACAGGGGGAAGTGAGAAAAAAAGAAGTCCTGGAAATCCCTCTGTGCTTCTTCCTTCTCACACAGGGAGAAGACGATGCTCACGGCGATCTTCTTCCTCCTCACCACGGCCGGGTTGGAGCTGCAGCTTTCCTCAGCCAAGCTGAATGTCTCATCAGTTGACCTGAAAGAAAGTTTGAGAAGTCGCTATGTACCAACGTGTCACACAGGAAAGAAACTGTATCTGCCAGGGGCCGGAGCTCAAAGAGCTAATCTGAGAGTCTTGGCCAGGAGCTAACCCACTTTTCACTCCACCCCAGGGAGAGATGCCACAGAGCACTACCCCACCGTGAACGGAAGCGGACATGAAGAGCAGCGTTGAGAGGCACCCTCGCCAGGCTCCTGAACATCTCCCGTGCATCAGTGTCACACTGATGGTTCTCAAAAAGGCCCTTTGCTTTTGCTGACAGACACCAACAGACGAGAAGAGCAGAACTCCTGCAGCTTTCCGAGAAACAGGGCATCACGTGTGAGGATGTCCTGGCACTGCCAGGCTCGTTTTTCTAAGGCATTTTAAACTACTGTGTCAAGGTGACATCTCTAAACACAGACAGTAAGTCACAAGACACACTGAGGTTTTTGGGAAAACCCCCGGGTGGAAAGACTCACCTCTCCAAAGTCACAAATACCCAAAAATTCTGAGTCTTTTGAGAGACGCTGCTTCTGTGACAACGCAGTTCACAAAGCCAACACACGCTCCTTACACACACTCTTGTCTTAAGGGATAAGCCCAAAAGTATGGGCGAGCCATGTCGCTTGTCAGTTATTGTGAAAAGCCAACACAACTGGGCCTGGTATGATGGCTCAATGTAATGATTGAAAGTTTGAAGAGGACACCCTATGTGGTAGTGTAGTGGTAAAGTCCTCGCCTTGCATGCACTAGGATTCCGTAGGGGCACCAGTTCACGTCCCAGCAGCTCTATTTCCCATCCAGCTCCCTGCTTGTGGCTGGGGAAAGAGTAGAGGGATGGCCCACGTCTTTGGATCCTTGCACCCATGTGGGAGACCCGGAAGAAGCTCCTGACTCCTGATAAGCTCAGCTCCAGCCATGATGGCCACTTGGGGAGTGAACCAGCAGTCGGAAGATCTTTCTCTGTGAATCTGCCTTTCCATGACAAGTAAGTAAATCTTTAAAAAGCCAAGGCAACCGCAACATGGATGTTAAAAAGAGTAGAAACTGTGTCTTTTTTCTATGAAGACACCAAAATTACACAGCGCACATGACATGTTCTTTTCTTGCCAGCTTCACCATTCAATACCTTGGTCAAATAGGAGTGCATCATCTCCTCGGTTTCTTACCACAAACGACAACTAAATAAGCTGTTGACACTGGGCAGAATTTGAAGCCGTTACTCCACCTACCCTTAGTCTCAGGCCTGGTATTTAATGTTCTACCCACAGCCCATGGTGTTCCTGCGATGTCAACACATCCATTCTTTATTAAATACACATCCACAGAAAATCTTACAGCTAGGAAAGCTTCCAGTTCTACACTCAGATACGGCCACTGCTTCCCGTAAGGACAGGCGAGCTGCTGTGATCTGGGTGAGGTCGGGCTGCTGAAGCAGCGAGAACCACTCCATCCCATCAGGGTTAGGGTTAGCAGCACGCCATCTCCATGCACTCACCAATTTCTTTCCCTGGGAACTTTCCAGAAAACATCCCTGAGGCTGTCTCAGAATTTCACAGATTTTCATTCAATGTTCCCTCCCTTTTTCCAAAGAATGTGAACTAAGACCTTGTCTTCCTGCAGTTTATTTCTGTCCTGTATGGGAAATCCATCTGGGTTTCTCAGACAAGAAGAGTTTACAATCTTTTCCTCCTTATCTGCCATCTCCTATTTTTCTTCTTTTTCCCGAAAGAAGTGACCATACCAACCTGTTCATCTTCATGTCCAGATGGCCTTTAGCAATCCAACTGTAATACTTGCTAAACCCTATGTTGCTTTTCTTCATTTCTACTCCTCAAATACCAAGCTTGTCCTCAGTTTTAACACAGCAGAGAGCGCCACCTACTGAATTTCAGAAAAACTTGCACAGCTACAAATCCAGCCCACAGCTCTCAAGGACTTCACTCTGCCATCTTGGACTGGGCATGCAAAGGGCAAAGTCAGGCCATATGAGACCCTAATTACATGTGAGGAGTTAGGTCACAGGACAGGAGGCTTGAGGGGATTTCCAAAGGGGCTCCTGTGTATCTCTAACCCAGGTCACCAGGTACAGGTCACAGGCAGACTGCTGGCTCAATCGCCTTGGGAACACGGTTTCTCAGTGACAACAGAAGAGGCAGAACTCAGAGCTTCTGTGTTTTTATCAGACTTATTTTTGACACTGGAAACAACTGGACTGTGGCCTCATGCCTGACACATCTGGGGGTGCACGTGGTCCGCCACCTAATGCACACGGCAGCTGGAGCACGGGGGGAGGGAAGCAATCACACCAGCCGATAAGGCCTCCCACGCAATTAGAGATAGCAACTGCACACTTCTTTTTCCTCTTAAAGAAATCAAGCACAAATCTGTTGGTACTTATGACTAAGTACCTGTACACTGTAAGTACTGCAAGATCATAACGACCAAGTATGTCTCAATCAAGAATGGCCACCAGGACTGCTTAATTTAAGTGTTGGATTTATGCTGGGTCTCTGTACCAGACTGAGCCATGAAATTGGCATCTTCCATGTCAAAGAATACCCTCCTCTTAGTTATCTTCTGTGTTGGTTCAAATTTAACAATCTGAATTAGCAACGTAATAGTAGCATTCCACAGGATTGCCACTTCGAGTCCTGGTTGCCCCACTTCCAATCCATATCCTTGTTAATGTGCCAGGGAAGGCACCAGATGCTGAGGGCTTGGGCTTCCGCATTTCAAATACATTAAAAAAGGGGGGGGAGGAGGAAAATGAAAATAATTGAAATCCAAAAGTTTTCAGTCTCGCTGGGACTTTTCAATGCCTTGCTCCTTTAGAGTTTCAACAGCTTCATCCAATACTAGAATCCCTGCGACTTCGCCCTTGCGGCAGCTGCTACAGGTCCAAGCCCGGCTCTCCACCCCGTAACCAATGCCTAACTCCTGGGACGGCAGGAGAGCCCTGGGCTTGCAAATTACTGGCAATTTCCCCCTCAAAGCCACAAACAGTCATAATTTTTTATATCAACTGTTCTCTTGTCTCTAGCTTAAGAAACCAATTTTCCCATCCATACAGATGTCAAAATGGAGCGATCAGCTGTGACATCATTCTAATGCAAGGATCGTCGTGGGGACAGGCATCAGTGTAAACATTTACTGTGCTCTTGTCCTCAGTACTGCACCAATGGCCAGCTTCTCAGGCCCGAGACCCTGCGCACGCACAGCTCTGCTCTCAGAGGTACCCTAGGCCTGCTTTAATGCTTTGTGGTCGCCATCCCGAATTCTTACAGCTTCACCACGGAATGTGCATGCTCTAAGTGAAGCCAAAGGGGCCAAGAAGCACAGACAGAAGCAGCGAAGGCAGCAGGTAGCAGCTTGCACATGGGTGGGCTCGGTCAAGGGCATACAACCCAGACGATGACTAACACACACCCACAGTCTAGGGCTGCCTGGAGAGTTACAAGAGCTCAAGGCAGCAGGGCTGCAATCCCAGCTGTGACAGCAGCCACAGGGGTGGGAGCGACGAAAGGTGGGAGCAAAGGGACCTTGGCAGCTGCAGCAGTCATGGTGGGAAGGCATCCATTACTGAGACTCGGAAGAGTAAATTATTACAAAGCCCGTATATGGACATAACAAAATCTGAGGGAATTATTCAAATCCTTTCAAGAATTTATCATCTTTGGTTTTGAAACTTCCAGCATCACAAAGCCAATGTTTGCTGGCATGGAAAGACTGAAGGAGATCATTGAACTAAACAAAAATTCCACTATTTCCATACGCAGCTTTAGATCAACAAATTATTACTAAGGCTTTGCAACCACAGACTCAATGATAGCACACCCACAAGGGCATTCTGAATTGCATACAACTCACGAGGACATTCTCAACTACTCGTCATAGGAAATGTTAGAATAACTTCAAGTGATGGAATCCCTGAGACTTCTTTTCCGTATAAATTTAAACCTAAAATTAAATTCAGGCTCAAACAAATGGATTTGTGTGAAGAACTAAGCAGTTTGACCAAAACTCTCCTAGAAGAACCAGCTGGTGCCGGTGTACCAAAATTTATATTCTGAAAGTTTATCAGAAATACGTGCCAATGTGGTCACAGCCTATAATGTTTCACTGGGATTATCAGCAAGAAAACTCTACGCCAAGAATTATTTAACACCTTGCATTTGTGGACGCAACTAATGTCATTTTTGATTATGTCAACTGAAAACTGAAGAATTTGCACAAAAGCCACAAAAGATCTTAGAATGAATCAAAGATATTACATGAAATATTACTTACAAAATTATGACACAAAATATTTTTGTGGAGCTTTTAAGTTTATGTTGTTATTCGTCTACCATTATATCAAATTTTATAAGTAAAATAAGAGGAAAGAAAGTTTTGCAGTTTTACTGTACCTTCAGCGTAATTTTTCTTGTTTTCTGAGTAAGAGGCCCTGCCATCCCTACGCTGCACCTGTCCTTCAATTACGTGGTCATCCCTGAGTGCACTATGTAATTTTAGAGATTCAGACTTTAAGTTAACAAGTTCACAAGAGATAAATTCCCAATATTTGGTCTGAATTCAAGTTAGAGCTTTGACAAATTCTGCAAGAATATGCAAAGGAATGCTACTCAACTTTGGATTTAAACCTTAATAGGTTTTTTTTTTTAATAAAGCATTTTAGTAAACAGGTTTCCCAGGTTTCAAGGCCAATCTCGTCTGATCCCAGAAGCTCCCATGACAGAGGACGGAGGCAGTGACAGTAACGATGATATCAACAGTGAGTCACCAAGTAGTCACGTTGGCCGGCACTTCACTCACCACATCCCGTGTCAATGGCCAACACTCCACTCACTTCATCCTCCCAAACCTCCCCCACTAACCGAGGCTGGAAGCAGTACAGTCATGCTGCGGCCGAGGAGGCAACACTTGGAATCCAAGGCAGCTTGTTCTGTCACACGTCCACTGAGAGGCAGAGGTAGGCCTTGTCCTAATGCCCAATTCCAAGCTTTTAACCATTCCACTGGCTGCCTAGCAACCAAGCAGTTCCCCAGAAGGTGACGCAACTTGAATGTCTTTCCATCTCTGCTGGTCTGGCAGTCTTGGGCAGCTGGATGGAACACCTCCACACCCTGACTCTTCCCGCTGGTCCACAGGCGACCACAGTGTAGGCGTGGGGCTCAACCCTCCTCACCAGTCCTACAGTGGTCACAAAGTGGTCGCCGAAGCACAGAGGGACACCTGAAGAGGCGATCTTCCATCCCCTGCTTCACAGCACAGTCAGGAGCCAGCACTCAGCTTTATCTCCCTCAGGAGTGGCAAAGTCCCAATGACTTGCGCCATCGTCTGCTGATTTGCAGGGTACAAATGAGCAGAAACTGGCTGGGGAGCAGAGGAGGCGGGACTCAAGCCAGGCATCCTGCCAAGGGATGCCAGCGCACCATGCTAACCAACCACTCTTTCACATGCCTGCCCTGACACGTCATGCTTGCGAGCATGCCTCGAGACTCCCTTTTAGGTGTTTGGGTTGCAGGAAGAAAAGGGAAGCTACTGAAGTCAAGAACTCCTCGGCACACAACTAAACCTTAGAGCCCCAAACCAGACGAAAGACAGAAAGATGCCATCTCTGCATCATTGCATGCATGTGTGCTTACTCTCAGAACGTAAGTTCCAAAGAATCCTTCACCGCGTACATTCCCACATTCCACACGTCACAAGAGCCAAAGAAGGGACTTATCTCTCCCCAGCTTAGTGACCTACAAGCATTACAACTGGAAGGAATCCAATATTTAGCACAGAAACATCACCAGTTTCCCAGCGGCACGACTACCCAACTTTTCCCTTAGAACTTCTAACTTGTCAACTTTCGGACTAAGCTGAAACGCACAAGCTGTTCCTGCTCTTCCACAGCCAGTGCAGGTCGGCCCACCAGTTCCATCAGCCGTGGGCACCAGCAGCGCCCGGGTGGGAGCTGGCCTGTCACTTACCTCCTGGGAACGATGCCATTCTCCAGGCTCGTTGTCTGGCTGCGCAGCCAGCGGCGCTGGAAGCTGCTGGAGGATGACGTGGACGAGCTCGGAGACGGGAAGGGTGTGATGAGAAGGCTGCTGAGGGAGGCTGCGGGAAGGACATGCAAGGTGTCAAAGTTGACATGACTGTCCTTACATGTGGCTACAAAACGCACAACACTGCTAAGCAACAGCAGTATTTAATATCGCTGATATGCACAGCAAAACGTGGTTAAGATAGTAAAGTTTATGTAACGTCATGCTAATGCAATTAAATACACCAAAGTAACCTAAGTTTTCCGGTTCTACCAGTTACAACCAGCAGGGGGAGACTGTAATTTCTTAGTAAGACTTCTGTACAACAGAGAACTGTCTAAGGAGGACAACAAAAGCAAGGGAGTAAGAGTAACAGATGTGGTCGCTACCTACATTAGCAAGCCTCACATTACAAATGTAAAATAAATATTTGGGATCCTGTACAATGACCTAGCGGCTAAAGTCCTCGTCTTGAATGTGCCAGGATCCCATATGGGCGCTGGTTCTAATCCCGGCAACTCCACTTCCCATCCAGGTCCCTGCATGTGGCCTAGGAAAGCAGTCAAGGATGGCCCAATGCTTTGGGACCCTGCACCTGTGTGGGAGACCTGGAGGAATTTCCTGGCTCCTGGCTCCAGATTGGCACAGCACTGGCCGTTGCGCTCACTCCTCCTCTCTGTATATCTGACTTTGTAATAAAAATTAATAAATCTTTTTTTTTTTTAAAGTATTTAACCAGGGCATAGGTTTCCAATGAAATGGTCCGGGGGACACATACTGCCAACTCATGCAATACATCCCTCTATGTGTACGTCACTCTATATTTTGTGGTGGAATTTAGGCAAACAAGACTTTCTCCATATGAAGTCCAGTCTTGTGACCCCCCCCACACACACACAACTCCCCAGGTTCCTGGTTCAGATTCTAGTTCTACCAATTCGTAGCTGGAACACTTGGCGTACTGCACAACCTTACTCTCAGCTGTCAGTTTTTCTACCTGTTATGTGACAACAAAATGCTACGTCTTTTCCCTAGGAACTACAATGCACTAGCGAGATTTCCATTTGTTAAGTATATGGAAACCAACGTTTTAAAAAGGAAAGTACACTGTACACCAGTTTTTAAACATATTTTCATTTTGAATTTTGAATTACGTGATACAATTTTGTAGAGGCTGGGATTCCCCGCCAAACTCCCACCCCCTGACAGATTCCCCATTTTACAATGGTGTAGTCCTTCATGAGGAATCATAATTCTCAGTCTCTTATTTAAGTGTACCCCAACATATTAATACACTTTTGTTCATCATATATGAAGATACTTGTAAGTTGCAACATAAAATCCCATGAGTGACAGACAAAAAAGAAAAAAGGCTGAAAAACATTGATCTATTACAGAAGATTCTCTGAAGAGCAGACAAATCAATCCATGCAAAACACTTCATCTAGCGCCCTAAACCAATGTTAACTACTCACACTCTGAAAAATGTTCAATGATTTGTCTGAGAGGGTGCCAGAGTGCAGGGAGAAGCAGTATCTCCTGTCTGCTGCCCACTCCCCAAATGGCTGGAGCCGGGCCAAAGCCGGGAGCTTACTCCTGCTCTCATGCAGGCAGCAGGGCACCCAGCACCTGGGCCTCTGCTGCTGCCTTTTCCAGATCAGTGGGAGGGCGCTGGATGCCAAGTGGAGCAGCAAGGCAAACTGGTTCCCATTTAGGCTGCTGGTGTCAACGGTGGTGGCAGCAGCTTGAGCTGCTACTCTAAAATGCCAGCCCCTGGAATGTCTTAGAAAACCTAAGCCAAATTACACATTTTAAGGGCACTGAAAAGATCGTTAGTTCTCATCAATTATGGGGAAACCCTACAATTTTTAATAGACACATGAAGGGCAAAGGAGAACACTTGGAGTTTTTTTTTGGGGGGGATGGTTTTTTTTTTTTGATGAATGACAATTTTTGTGGCATGAAGAAATTATACTTTAAAAAAGATGATTATTTGAAAAAGAGAAGGGACCAGTGCAACGGCTCAACCGGCTAATCCTCCACCTCAAAGCACCAGCATTCCAAATGGGTGCCAGTTAGTGTTCAGACTGCTCCACTTCCCACGCAGGTGCATTTGTGGCCTTGGAGCACACCGAGGGATGGCTCCAAGCCCTTGGTCTCAGGTTGGCCCAGGCCTGGCTGCTGAGGCCACCTGGAGAGTGAATCCACGGATGGAAGCACTCTTCCTCTCTTCTGTGCAATTCTCCTTTACAAATCTTTAAAAACAACAACAAAAAAGTGATTATAGCAAACCACCAGTACCCTCGGGACTCGGCCAAGACAGGGCGCCAGCAAATGCTCTGGGCAGGTTCAGGCTTGGATCTAAACTAGCAGGTTTTGTAAGGTGTGCACTTTGCCAGGAGACAGTTGGGCAAAAATAATACTGCAGGCATCTCTCCTCTTCCGCAGCCATCCACCCATACGCACTGTGAAGAGCCTCCAGCCCAAGTGTGATCACTTAATGCACTCCCTCTCCTATCCCATCCTGCACCACGCTGCCCTGGCTGCCCTTCAGTCCTTCTCCTGCTCAGACACAACAGAAACCTACAGAGCTGACCCACATCTGTGTACTAACTGTTGCGATGCCTGAAGTGGTCTTTGATGGACGTGGCCACTCCCCTGTGGGAGTGGAGTCCACACTGACCCAACTGAAGCATGAGCCGAACTCCAGGCAGTTGATGCTGATGATCTGCGCTCCCATGAGAGCGGGCACAGTCCCCACTCCTCAGACACGGGGCCATCGTAACTTCTCTCCAGATGTACTGTCCAGCAAGGGTGGACATCACAGTGGAGAGACCTGACCAGTGCCAAGTCAGGCAGCCACGGCCTGTGCCAGCGTGGGGTTTGTTTTTTTCTTTTTTTATATGAAAGAAATTGATTTCATTTTCAAAGACAAAGCAAAGCTTTCCTGGGTACGTTATTCTGGACCAACAATTTTTTGCTTTTAGAATCTGAAATATGTCACTCCATTCTCTTCTGGCCTACAGTTTCCTGTGAGAGGTCTCCTGTGAATTTTTTTAAATGTATTTTTATTTTGTTGATAAACTTCACATGGTTGATCAGGGTGCAAAAGGTCAAGGGCTAGAAGAAAGTGGGTAAGACCATTGCTATCACATTCTTTTTTTTCCCTTCCTATATCTGGGGGAAGGGGAGAGATAAAGGGAAAAGCCATATCCAGCCTCCCAACCATCCCCGGGTCCCTGATGTAGAGCCTGCTCCGAGGGCTCCGCTCGAGTGGCTTATAGTTCCACAGTTCTGAATTGCTGATCTTGCCACTCTAGGCACAATGATCTCACTCCAGAATCTGCTGGCTGACATACTCCATGTTATAGCGTCTCCATTTTCCCGCCAACCTTTGGCTGGGGTAGTTGATCGATTTGTTCTGTCCTCTGTTCTTGTACCAGGTGTCCTCCACAGGAGTCATTGTATCCTCCATGTGCAATTGACCATGCTGTCCACTGTTTCATCTAAGCCACTGAAGAGGCCCGGCTCTGACACAAGCATTCCAGGGTCAGACCATGGACCCTGCAATTTTCTCCATGGTTGAAGCTCTGAGTCCATTGGTTCAGTTGGGGGATCCCCAAAGAAACCTCATCTAAGGCGATCCCAGACCTGATTTTTGTTTGTGCTTGCGCATACAGGAACTGTGTGCCGGCGCTCTTAATGAGAGCTGCTGCCCTTCATGTCACATGATGACGTTGGCACCTGACTTCCATTCTGCAACTTCCTTCCCAAAACCCACAGCCTTAGTGGAACATTGCACAAGTGGGACACTCAGTAAAATACCTAACCAGGGAGCCCCAAAACAGTCAAGGTCATCAAAAACAGTCTGCGAAGCCTCCCCAGCCACAGAAGCCTGAAGAGACCCAAAAAAGTACGGCTCTTGAACATAAAAAGGACATCAGAAAACCCAAGGAAGTTAAGAAAGCACAGCGATGGACTCTAGCTCAAAGCAAGGTGTCAGCGTTGGTTCACTAACTGTAATAGACACACCTTGCACATGTAAGAGGTTAAGCAGAGTGAACTGAGTGAAGCTTATTCCAGAACGCTCTGTACTGACCTCTCAATTGGTCTGTGAATTCAGAACTCCAAAACCAAACTATCTTAAAAATTCTTCCCATCTTTAATATCTCTACCAGTTCTGACCTAACTCGACCACCCAGAAACGCCTATTCTCTTCCAAAACTGAAGCCCTGAATCTACCAAGGTTCAGAGGGAGATAAGAAATCTTAAATAAACTAGAAGAACACAAAAAGGTTCTTATGTTAACAGAGCGTCAAATTCCAACAGAGACATACAACCCACCCTTGTCTGGACGTGGGCTGATTTCAGAACAGCTCCTGGATCTAGGTGGATGGTATCTCAAGACAGGGCCATTTACCTTGGCAGCAAGAAAGAGTGAAGTACCACCCAGAGCATCTGTGGTTCTCTGTTACCCTGCTCACTTCCTCCCAGCTGGGTGACTGTCTCCGTTATCCTGCTTATTTTGTCCCAGCTGGACAACTGGGAGGACTGGAAGTCAAGTTTGTCTGGAACAGGAGCTCAACTACCAAAGAACCAGTCTTACCTAACTTTGTTTCCAGTTTCTCTTGCAGCTGGGCGAAACCTTTGCAATCTGCCTGTTAAAGGCTTTCAATTTCAACTGGGCCTCTCGATTTTTCCACTTTCCATGGGGCAGTGGAAAAAAAGGTGATTTGGGATGTGATTTAGAACCTGTCAAAGGGAGATCTGGGGGCACGTGCAGCAGTATAGTAGGTTAAGCCACTGTCTGGGACAACCATATATGCATCCCAAATCAAACTGCTGATTCCAACCCATGTTCCTCCACATTTCTGACCCAGCTCCCTGCTAATGCCCTCGAAAGATGGTAGATGGCTCAAATACTGGGGTCCCTGGTACCCACACGGGCAGCCCAGATGAACTTCATGACTGCTAACCTCAGCCTAGCCCAGCAATAGCTGCTGTGTACATCAGCAGATGGAGACCTCACTCACTCTGGCCTTTCAAACAAAATTTCCTTTTTTCCAAAGTGACATTCTGTCAAATACATTATAAAACAGTTACCTAGAATCCGAGTTTCTTTCCAACAACGGGTATCCGTGTCTACAAACTCTGAAGTGTTTTTGGACCACGGAGAGGCATGAGCAAGTAGAGAAAGTGAAGTTACTGAAGGGCAGGAAACCGTGGTAGCTGAGCTCAGATGGGGGCCCAGCAGAAGGAACCAGCTCTGACCACACAGAGCCAAACTTAGTAACTTCCGTCAGACATGACCACAGCAGTTCTGACTTGGAATGATCTCAGTCCTAGCTTTCATGGTGAGCCCCTCAACTGCTAGCCTGGACATTCAAGCTCAACAAAGCCAGCACCCTGCCAGTCCCATCAGGGTCAAGCCCTGCGATGCCAAATTCTTCAACACACCCAGTTTCTACTTAACGGGTGAAACTCATGGTTCAGTTGGCAAACCCTTAAGAATTGAGGAAAACCTCCTGAGGACCACAAAATATTAATCTTAAGAATACAACAGGGCCCGGCGTGGTGGCACAGTGGTTAAGGTCCTTGCCTTGCATGCCCAGGATCCCATATGGGCACCGGTTCTAATCCCGGCAGCCCGGCTTCCCATCCAGCTCCCTGCCTGTGGCCTGGGAAAGCAGTCGAGGACAGCCCAAGGCTTTGGGACCCTGCACCCATGTGGGAGACCCGAAGAGGCTCCTGGCTTCAGATTGGCTCAGCTCCAGCCATTGCAGCTGCCTGGGGAGTGAATCATCGGACGGAGGATCTTCCTCTCTGTCTCTCCTTTCTCTGTGTATCCACCTTTCCAATAAAAATAAAATAAATCTTTTTTTTTAAAAAAAAAAGAATACAACAGTTGGCTTAGCACTTTCATACATTGCCCATGGACTTCTCAGATTTTATGGGTACAAAAGAAGCTATAAGTGGAAATACGACAGGTTCCATCAATGAGTTATATTTTTGACCAAAGGGGATTGTTGTAACTTAAGACAAAAATTATAAAAATAAAAAAGTATCATAGAAAGTACATCCATCTCTCACACACAACAGGGAGATTCAAAAGCAGACTGTATCTCACGTAATAATTGAGGAGCTGTTGGACATGGCAGGTAAAGGAGACTGTTACTAGCACAGAAGGAACAGAAGGCCCTTTGACAAACCAAAAAAATGACCAGGAAGAAAAATCCCTGAGGCCGGCAGCCAGCCACGAGCCTGGCTGGGAGGCCGGCCTGTTGGGGAGGGTGCATGCAGTGAGCCATCAGCCAGGTAGAGGCCGCAGGCAGGCACAGCCACACCCTCCAGAGCCTTGGATTTCCAGACCACCAACTCATCACCCATCCCTTACAACCCAAAGTCCACCACAAAATCAACTAACAAATGTAGAGTCATGCAGAAAACTGGAAACACAAGGAAAGTATTAGGGGGTTAGCACAGAGGCTCAACAGGCTAGTCCTCCACCTGCCAGTGCCAGCAACATCATATATGAGCACTCGCACTCACAATCCAGCACGTGCTTGCTTTCCTTCCTTTATTCTAGACTCAGAGTCAGAAAACTCCCACTACGCCCGGCTCAAGGAAGCTTGCTCCTAGAAATGTTCATATGAGATCAGTGTTAAATAGAACTAGGTTAGGCTATACGGTCATTCCCAGCTGCTGTACAACAAGGTTTCAAAGGTCTTCTAGTGTGGGACAGGATCTTGGGATTCAGAGAAAAAGGAAAGGAAATGCCTACTTGACCTCAACTTTCCCAACTTCCACACCATTATGGATAACTCACTGTTAGTGAAAACCAATAATAATAAAAAAAAGTATCAATACCTGATCGAGCAATGCCACTGTCCCTGTCTTCATTCTGCCCTCTGCTTGGCATATCGACTGGTGTGCTGTGAGCTAAAAGTATAAGAATTCACGTTATTGAGCACTCCAAAGTTTAACACGAGTGGAGTAATCCTTTCAAGAAAGGCTGTTGCTACTAATGACAGGTGTAAGTTTACAGAGATTAACCAGAAGGCAAATTAAACACATACAAGATAACCACAAAATGGAATCAAGTGGCCAAGTATATCCTTGTCTTATTGAAGCATATAAAGTTCAAGACATTCAGCTCTAAAAAAAAAAAGTTCTTTTGAACAACGACCTATTCATGCAGTTAGTACAATGACCACACGGTTCCAGGCAAATATTTCTAGCCAATTTCCTCACAATTAATACTGTTTAAATAGTAGTAAATGTCAAAATGCTTTGTAATCCATTCCAGTCATAGCTATAAACAACTTAAGGAAGACAAATATTTGAAAACCATTTTCTCAGTTCAGAAACTGCTCCTCTGTTTATATTCCACTCTCTTGGCAGACAGAATGCACTTCAAATATTTCTTCCTCCACTTTTGCATATACACCCATACGTGGTATTATTGCTGTCTTTTGCATATACACCCATATACGTGGTATTGCTGTACAGTTTCTTAGGAAAATGCATGCCCTGGGATGTGTTTGGAAAAACAAACCATTGCAAACCTGTTGGTCTGAGCTGTGTAGTTACCAAGCCTGAAGGCAGACGAAACACTATTAAGTTCAGAAGGTACAAGAAAGCTAGTTCCCTGCCTGATCAACACACTCCTCATTTTGTTGAAGCTTCTTTACACAATTTTAATGAGTATATAAGCATCTCACCCTTAGTCCGAGCAGAATGGGACACTGTCAGTTTCATTGGGGTATCATTTAACAACAGCACTTAGCATTTTTGTGAAAAATATCATTTCACAAAATCCCTTCTGTTAGTAGTGATGGTTCTACCCTCCCTCAAAGTGTGAATCATGCCAAGACCACAGCAGCCATTTCACAGCCAGTTAGCCAAGTTGGTTTCTCAGAATTTACCAAGATATCAAGATAACCACCATTGTAAAGAATCTACCAACTGCACTGACGTCAGAGGGAGACAGCCAGTGCACGCGTGCCATCTCCCACGCTTTGATTAGTGACACCGAGAAACTTCGTGCAGGTTAAGGATGCAGGTGAAAAGACAGATTAAAGATACCATGACAAATGGAATCGATTCACAGCAGCGACAAGAGGTCCAGAAAAATCGGAGAGAGTAATCCTCTTAGAAACGCTAAGGGCTCATTTCGGATTAAAATCAGCTGACACCGGGGTATCAGCAGAGACAAGTACGACAGATGCTGGCTGGTGGAATTTTCAGAACACCAAGCATTCGGCTGCATTTGAAACTGATATCTCTTATCACAAGAGCCCCTTGAATTTCTAGAGAGGTAAAAGCCAGATTTTTTGCTCCCAAGAATCTGCACAGGCTTGATTAGTATGTGTGGGTCATGCTGGACTCGGTGTTCCACACAAACCTGCAAAGAAAGAAGCACTCCGGGTGAGGCGGAGGGGTCCACCTTCAGCTACCCCCTGCAGCAGCTTGCCGCAGCATGCCTGCAGGAGACCTGGAGGCAATACACACAGGACAGCCAAGCACACACACACACACACACACAAAATAAACACAGATTAAAATATATCAGAACAGCACAAAAACTCAAATAAAGCAAAACACACACCCACAGCAATAATAGTGCTAAAGAGAGAACCCGCTGGGCCCGTTTTACCTAGGTTACTGGCAGTGCGACAAGGACCCAGGCCATGCTGATGTGTGTTCATTTTTCCCAAATTAGGATCTTGGTTGATGTATTCAAAGCTGTCTTGCAAGCTAAATCCAGAGATGCAGAGGAGAGGGAAAGCAGTGAATATCCAGCAGCAAACAAAGCTGTTTCTATTAGACTTCCACGCGTCGACAGCTCATTAGTCACACTCGTTGTATTTCTTCATGAGTAAGTCTGGTCTTACAGCTACCGAAGGGGATTACATCGGGAACTTTAGGGAAATCTGCTCAAGAAAAACCAAAAGCTTTCTGGAAGCAGCCCAATGTGCACAACTCAACAACTGCAACCTTGCCACTGCCACCCTAGGGAGGCGGCAACCAACGCCGAACGGGGCTGCACCGCCTCCACCTGGAACCGCGACCTGGCTCTCCACGGTGCCTCAGCCACCGACTCCCAAGATGTCGCTATCTGTTTCGAGAATTAAATGTTAACTAAGAGTTAAAATTACGAATAAATCAGCAACACTTTTTTTTTTTTAGGGAGAAGATGAACAAATTATGACTCTTACATGGGCTGTATTTCACAACTTTTAAAAAGTTAGAATTGCTCATACCAAAGATGAGGGAGGCAGATTTTTCTATTTCATCATGTTGTTAAGAAAATTAAGGATCAAAATTGTGAACATAATTGAGCAGTATGAAACTTCATGATTTCCAGCTGAACCAGAGTTATTATATAAATATTCAGGTAAACCCAAGGACCTGCAGTGTCTCCAACACTGATCCCCACATTAACTTGAGTCATGACAATCCAACGTCAAACGCTCAAACTACGTTGTTGAAGAGTAAGCAAAGATTTATTCATTGGTACTTAGTTATGGGAGGGGAGGACTGAGCGGAGAGTATCTGATACTAACTCAATTCTTTAGAAAAGAGACTGTTCCCTTTTATGCTAAAAAATATTTTAATTAATGGGTTTGAAAGGCAGGGTGACAAAGGCAGGGCAGAGTGAGCGCACGCACACACACACACACACACACACACACACACACACACAGTTAACATCCCTTGGGCTACTATCCAAATGGCAGCAGATACTCGAGCCATCATCTGCTGACTTCCCAGATGTGAGAGCAGGAAGCTGAATCAGAAGAAAACCAGCACTGGCAGACGCTGGCGCTGCACGTGGCGTTTAGCCCACTGCATCACAACGCTGGCTCTTGACTCGGGGAAAGACCTTTCCGTATTCGCTGTCCATAGGACAACAGCCACCTGTACAACATTTTGATTTCAACTCATCCTACGTCTCGTTTCAAAAACTCCTTCTGGCCCTTTAGGGACTGCTCCCTCTAGAAACAAGCTCAAGCACAGAGAAGACGGAATGCAAAGTCCCACACTTACTTATTTGTACTTCCACAGAGGCTGCCCATTCTGGCAGAGAACACTTTACTGATCATCAGTTGTGGAGGAGAACTAAAAAAAGGGGGTGGGCAAGGGGAAAACACAGGTTTTTAATTAAGGAATCAGTACCACCATTCCCCTCGTCACTTGTAATACGGAAAGATGTCCAACTCACCGCATGTAGTGTATCTTTAAGGTGGAGCCTTGGTAGCTCATGGCAACAGAGCCAAACATCATTTCCCCTAGCATGTTGACGTCTGAAGCCGGCCTTGTGTACTGCACAGCAGAAACCAGTCAGTCAGCGCGTGGGACAGCGAGACATGCATTGCAACCCAAGATCATTCTTATTCTCTGGCTTCCTCTTTGGTTTAGCGGATAACTACAACTATTTCTCAAAACTGCAATCAGTCATCTGATATTCGTGACCAGTAACAGTGACTGCCTAGATTTACCCCAAATTATTAGTAATGATCATAGTTCCTGTTTTATACACAGAATGTTCGCCCAGGATCCATTAATACCAGTTTTTAAAAAGAGATTATCAATCTCCATTTTTAAAGCCTAAGTAAATTGAAATCATGAAGATCCTCTCTACCTCCCAAAAAGACATCCGAGTTGGTCATCACTCAGTCGCGTGAGTAAGAGTGCTGCTCAGAAACGCAAACTCTTCCAAGCAGAGTTTGGGACGTATCCAAAAGACAACACAGTCAGCTCTCTCTCACGTTTTGCAGGAATATGTCCAAGGTTCTCAACTTCTCCAACTTCTGGCCAGCCTTTCTCTTGCCTGCAGTCACCCTAGAGTGGACACTGTCCCTTCCACTTCCTCACCTCTGCTGTGCTCATGGCCAGCACCCCGAACGCTGTGCCTGTTCCAAGGACCCCGCCAGCCTCTTAGCTCCCGTGCACACTTGCCAACTGCCTTTAGCAAACTTCATATTTGAAGCCGTGAACCTCTTCTTCAGGATCTCTTTCTCCCAACTTCCACACATTTGTCCGTTGGAGGGCACTGCCTCCCACTGCCTGTACTTCAGTCTGTCTTTTGGTTGACTATTAGACACATGCCCACCCTTAACACTACCCTTTTTAACAGCAAACTACAGTTAGAGGACAAATGCATGACACAAATCTATCAAGTTGCAAAGCCCTGTGGCATTGTGGCTGCTGGTCACTGCTCCCGCCTTCACTTTTCCAGAAAGTGAAGAGACACAACTACATAGAGATTTTATAAATCAGTTGAAAACATAATTAGTTGGACATACAGCCCCCATGAAACCTCACGTATTCCCCACCTACCCTCAATACTTACAAAACCTGCCTCCCTTTGCTTTAGCTGAGCAGTGTTTGGCAATGACCCTACTCCCCCCTATTGCCTCAAATGCCCCACCACAGGAGCCAGCAGCTCTCCCGGCTTCATCCTCCAGGGACGCCTTGCCACTTCCTCCTCCTCTCTACAAGCCTTTCACCCCTTCTTTGCCAAGTTCTATTTTGGCGTTGGGGGAGCTGCCAGATGCCCATGTACAGCCCAAGAATCACTCTCAGTTCTTCTTCAGAGAACTACATCTTCATTATCTTGGACTGGACAGCAAAGGAAGCAAGGGAATTTGCCACATCTGCAATATTTCTTCCTCATTCCATACATGTTCTATTTTATCAGCTAAGCTTAAATAAAGGCGAGAAAGCCAGAGAGTGGAGACAGCGCTGGCACAAAAATGGAAAGGAGTCCTCTGGTGAGGGCTGGCTCTCCTGCTGCTGGAGTGGACCCCTCAGGCCAGCATTACGCCCTGAAGGAACAGCACAGGAAGCCACAGCCACTCCTGTGGGCTTTCCCAGTAAGGGGGGCTTTTACCTGGTACTTTGGAAGCTGCTCCTTGGCGTGCGGTAGGGATCCCCCGAAGGAACTTTGGGAGGAGATGCCGCTGCTGCTGCTGACGCTGCTGCTGGCGCTGCCGTTTCCCTGGCAGCACCTGGCTGACATTTGCATAAGGACATCCTCTGGTTTCTGGGTTAGGAGACACCAGCAGGGCCAAGGATCACTAGACACACCCAGCTCTGTCATCATGTTTTTCAGGGGGAAGCGCCCTGTGAGGACACTCGCCTACCCATGTTGCATTACAAACCAGAAGCATCTCCCCCAGGCTTTCTAATGACAACAGCAATCTCAGAGTCAGGAAGGGGCAGTGCTCAAGAGATGGAACAGGGAAAAGGCATATGGAGGGTTAAATATTCAGATGTCATTTTCCCTAAGTCATTGAAATATCAGCTACATTTCACATCACACTTTAAAATCTTCGAGGACAACATTTTGACCAAACAAATGAAACTGGAGTAACACAACTATGGATTTGTACAGGACAGGCTTGCGTCTCCAGTGACCTCTCTCCTCCAGGATTCCTTTGAAGGCAACAGGAAAGAAAAAATCACGAGGTTGAGTTTGGGAGAGGTGAGGCCCAGGGCCTAAAATAGGAGCCCCGTGACCTGCCCAGCACGTGATCAAAACGCACTGTACAGGAGGTAATGGGGGATGTCTGCTCCGTCCTTCCTAAACAGCGTTCACTGCCAGTTTTGATGGCAGTGACATAAAGGTATGCCCTCATCAGCTTTGCCTTCACCTCTACCATGTTACCCTGCCCCCTGTGAGCAGCGGTTTCTATTCACAGCCATCTTTGCCTTTTTTCCTGTGCAGCTTTACTTGTAGAATGCAATGGCAGCTTATCTAATCCCCAGTGTGACAGTCACACTGGGGGTCTAATGCAAATGCCTGCAAGTCATGTGCTTCACACAAGCTCATGATGTTTTGTGCTTGCCAAGCAGGGCAAGGAAGGGCCAAAATGGAGGGGGGCGGGGGGGAAGGTCAGGAATACACAAAATGTGCCACTCGACAACACTGTCTCCAGCAGAGAAGCTTTCCAAGTTGTTCTGGATGATTCCAGAGCATCCAGCCCTTCCTCAACACCCTCTTCAGCTGTAGTTGCTACTTAATACCACTTCTGTCTGGCCAACACAGCCCTTTGCAAGGCTGAGAGTGCCATGAAGGCCCACGCTGTGGATGGCAAGACCCTCGGGCTGCAGCACAGCACAGCACAGCACAGCACAGACCCTCTGGCTGAGCAGTCGTGACTGGGCACGGCACCTGCAGGGTGCAGAGGCTGACCAGAGTCTTGTGTGGCTTTGGGTAAGCTGCTTACTTTGGGTTTGCCAAGTTGCTTTTTTTAACGAAATGGATGCTTCTAAGAAAGGCCATGTCCCAGGCTCACTGCTCCCACAGTGTGAAGATTCCAGTTCCTTCTGAACACCAGTGAGAATTTTACCCCTGCACCTGCCACCACCATTAGCAGCCCTCCTCCTGTCCACCAAACAGGGTCAAGTGCTAGCTCACCTGAGTTTTTGATACAAACCTCCCACTAAAATCTATAGTGAATCACCAAGTGTCCCACCCCCACCTATCCAACAAGCCCAACAACCACTGGAATCATTAGCTACCTGGCAGAAACTCCACCATAGAGCGCTGTGGAGTCCACCTGGCTCAACGGCCTTGAACCAAACACTTCCTTCCTGCAGAAATGATCTTAATCAAGAGCAGCAAAGAAGCCCCTGGGCCCTGATGAGACAAGGACCATGTCAGACTCTGCTCACTTCCTTGGCTCCACACCGTGGGTTAACAGCAGTCTGCGGGGCGTGCCAAGAACAAACGCCAGGACTGGACTGACCGTGTGGTCCTGCAGAGTGAGTGAAGAGCCTGAAGGTACTATGCGGAAGCACCCCAAATTATCACCCAGGCTCCTCTCCGTGTTTTCATCATTTCCTATCCGGCTCCAAGGTGAGAAGGACTGCTCCGCCCTCACAGGCCCCAGTTGTCACATACCACCTCACACCACTCCTACCCCTGCTGCAAAGAAAGGGGAACTTGGAGTTGCTTTGCTCAGAGAGGCTTTGGAAAGGCTTTAGAGGATGACAACGTGTGGTGGCATTTCAAAGCTCTGTACTGAGTAAAAGCCCTTTAGTTCTGCCTAACCTGCGCTGTGTAATCCTTCCATGATCGATAAGCAACACTGGGCAGGTGATGGACTAACTGCCCATCAGGCCAACGCTTCCTCACCTTAGGAACTAAAGAGTTCCATCTTCCCGTTTTGTTTCATGCATGCGCACACTTGGCAACTGCCCAGTAAGTTCACCTGCAGCAATACTGACAGCATACTGCTGAGCCCCACTGGGATTATTCGCAAGCTTTGTCTGTGTTTATTACTGAAGACACACGGGCCTGACGGGAACAGGGGCTGCGGATCTCACACTGGCTTTTTCTGAACCATCAATGGCCAAGTACAACATAGCCCAAGGCTGTGAGCCAAGAGAGGACTGCCCAAGGAAGTGGCTGGAAGCAGCAATGGAAAAGCCAAGAGCGAATCAGTCTTACCTGAGCTGCTAGCTCCTCAGTCTGGAGGACGGCTTTGGAATCGAACAAGACTTGCCTGCCCCGCCGCTCACAGTCCTGGTAAACGATCAGGCGAATGTCACTCAGCTCAAACTCTGAGCACGACCAACTGTAAATGAAAAGAAATTATTTTACCTGCATTGCCTGCGTTTGACCACAGACAGGCAAGGTTCCCAACCCACCTGGTAGTGTGGGAGTCAGAGGATGCCAAGTGGGCAGAAGTGGACATCTCCCCTCAGCCAGGGGCCAGTAAGTCAGCCAGGCCCGCGTGCACAGACCCCACACACTGCCAGTTTCCACCATAGAGGTCTGGAGGAGACTGCCCTAAGTAACAAGTCACCAGGGAGAGCCGCTCCTCCCAAGGCCAGTGGGGGGGGGATGGCAGCCAGGAATTGCAAGGACATGCAGACAGGGCTAAATGTGGCTGCCTGTGTTCTGGGGATGGTCAGGATTCTGTGGCACTGGGCAGAAGGGGACCACGCCTGCACCCGCCCTCTCCCTCCTACGCACACCCAAGTCAGACTGAAAGGGGTTGTCTAGCCTGAAGTTTACTATTTCCTCCCCATGATACAGAGGTTTAAAAAAAAAAAAAAGAGTGCAGTGTATGGCATGTGAAATTCTAAGAACTGCAATACAAGAAATCCACTTACTCTTAAGCAAACCAAAAGCCACCAAAACAAAACTGCTCTGAAGAAAACACAGGTTAATTCTGGAGTAGTAAAGGACTTCAGAGGGAACTCTAAAAGCTAGCATCTAAAGTGTATACTTTGCTTACTCATTCATGCACTAATCAATTTAGCAGATGTCTGCATCCTAATTATATCCCAGACACTGGTAGATGCTAGAGGATTTAGGAGTTAATCACCAAACGGATTGGATCCCCACCTTGAATGAGTTCCTGGTTTTGTGGGGAACATTAGGGCAATAATTATATATATAAATGTTTAACTATAAATGATCAAAAATGAAAAAGGTGGGGGTAGGATGTGAGAGCCTGAATCCCAGATTCACAGAGTGGGGCAGACAGGAGGGCAGCCCCCGAGTACGGGGAGTGCCAATTAGCCTAGACCTGAAGAAATAAGAGTGAGAGATAAAGTGAAGAGGGCCGTGTTGAAAGAGGAAGGGATGTGGTCAAGGTGTAAAATCGCTGCCCTAGACAAAGGGCGAAACCCAGGGCGCTGGGAGGGCGCTGGGAGGGCGCTGGGAGGGGGCTGGGAGGGGGCTGGGAGGGGGCTGGGAGGGGGCTGGGAGGGGGCTGGGAGGGGGCTGGGAGGGCGCTGGGAGGGCGCTGGGAGGGCAAGTAGGACTGGCAGGCAGGACCATGTTCTAAATGCAAGAAGTCAAGGAAAACAGGAGGGCGATGTGATAAAAACTTTTTAAAACTCCAGTCTGGCTATTGTAAGGAAAATGGAAGAAGGCAGGCCAATTAGAATTTATTACGTTCAAGTCCTCTTTGTGGCCATCACGCTTAGCCTTCCTTAAAGATGGGGAAGGCGACTGATACTGCAGGCATGCTCGGGAGACCGAAGCCAAAGAGATGCTGCATGAGGGTGTGAGGAGGACACTGAAGGACCAGATGACAGAGGGGCATGGACAAGACAGCGAACCTGGGAATCACGCACACAGGTTCAAATCCAGATAGTCTCAGTCGGGGCACAGAGCACATCAGTGCTGAACTCACAAAGCAGTTACATGGATTAAATGGAGTCTGAACTGTATGCCAACGAAGGGCGACTCAGAGCAAATGCTCCAGAACGGTACGGACCTATGAAGGCTGTTAACACTACAGTTTTCAAAGTAAAAGAGTGTTTGGTCCCCAACCTTCAGCTGTGCCCACGGGGGCCTTTCCTTTTGCAGGCCATGGAACTCTAATTCTGAACACGCTGTTTTAGGGTAGGAGATGTGGTTCTGAATTTCAGCAGCAAAAACAGTTCTGGTTGTACTTTCAATAACTTGTGTTCTCCATTATGAGCTGTCATGACCAGCATCCTTCTCTCCTAATTAGGACAGCAATGCAGCCACTCTGTTTTGGAAACTGTACTCTACTCCCAGTCTAGAGGTGGCCCGTGTGCCAGACATGGTCAATGAGACAAAGCCCCAGGACTCATGCTGTGCTGGGGGAGGCCAACCCTGAGACTCAGTTCCTCAGTTCATCAATGGTAACCCTGCGGCTGCTGACGGCCGTTTTTGCCATCACCTGTCTGGAAACAAAGTCAACAGGGAAGAGAGAGCTGTGCAATGGAGTGCGACAGGCTTCTGTCGGCACCTGTCGCCAGCCATTCCCAGGCAAGCACTGCTCCCAGACCTCGGCTTCTGTCATAACCAAACAAGTCTTAATATCGTGACCCAAATCATAAAGTCTGTAAGTTATACCAAGAGATCGAAAGCATTCTCCGAAATTACATTGCTAAAACACCACACTCGTGCTAAGGATACTGAAAGTGAAAAAAAAAGATTTAATTGTTCTATATTCTTATACAACATATTTTGTTCAATAATTATATTTTGCCAAAACAGTATAAACTTACAAACCAGTTATTCAAACCTTAAGACAGATTGTCATGAAGAGCTAAAGCTTGATGACAACATACTGCCTTGAGTCTGGCTTTTAATACTGAAAAGATGAAATAAAAGATAAAAGATGAAATAAAAGGGCAATGTGCAGATGTCAATACACTCATCTATTTTTCTGAAAATATTACAAATGAGAATTCTATTCTCCCATAGAAATACTGTCATTGGTTTAACACCTAATTATAATTTTGCTATTTACACTCTCTGCTATTAGTAGAGGAAATTACAGTTGAGTAATGTGGTGACGGAAATAGAGGCAGACAGAAGCCTTTCCACGAGGGCTCCCGAGGCACACAGGCCTGGGATCAGGTCACAGCCCTGCCTCCCACTACTTTACAGCCTTGGGAAAACCTTCCTGAGCAGCACTTGAAGGACCTGTCATAAAGATGAAAGGAGCACGCGGGGGAGCTTGCCCAGACACTGCCATCTCCTTCCCACATGCCCGGGGACTGAGCTGCTCACATGCCACGTGCAAAGGCTCTGCACATCACACTCATTTTTGCACCCTACCAGCAGCTGCTGCACATGTGCTGTCACACACCGGCCACAGCTCCCAGTCCTTCACTGCGGGCAACCTTCTGCAGGACTCCAATGGAAAATAAGCACTGTGCCTTTGCCTAGACGTATCTGACCGTGTCAGGTAAAACGTATTCTCTCTCAAGTCCATGCTTTTGTTGACAGCAAGCAGACAACACTGCATCTGACATAGACAAGACAGAAGTTATGTTCTCCACTTTATGACTTCAGGTACAAGAAGTGTTCACCTTTTTCTTACTGTAACATTTTACGAAGAGTGACTTACATGGACCTGCTTTGGTTTTCAGATTCCACATTAACTCACCTGGTTAAGAGTAAAACCAGGCCTCATTTTGGAAACTTATTACTATCAAGAGTGAAAAGCCAGTAGCCAAAGTCAGGATTATTTTCCTACAGTGCAACAGTCAGTATAATTCAAATGAATTTAAGTGCAGAAAACAATTCTCTTAGACACAAGAGAACCATTGCAAAGCCCACGCACGCACACGCACGCACACGTGCGCACACATGCACACACGCACACATGCACACACACACACACACGCATGCACACACACGCACACACGCGCACACGCACACACACACACACGCTGCAGTTTGAATTGTGTCTCTCTTCCCTCCCCAGCCCTCAAGATGATGAAGTCCTAGTTCTCTCTGCCAACATGACCTGGCTTGAAAACACGGTCTTTGCAGATGCATACAAGACAAGATGACGTAACTGCAAATTAATATGGGCCTTAACTCAGTAACTGCCATCAGAAGAGGAACGGAATCTGGACCAGAACACAGAGGAACTAACGTGCAGGGGAGGCACTGCAGGCTGAGGACAGAGACGGACAAGGGCAGATGGTACAAGATCAAGGTTTTGTTGGGTGCCTGGAATGTTCCTACAGCGTAAGACTCGCAGAGGAAATGATGCTGGAAAGGCAACTGAAGACTGCTGAGGGGTGCCTTCAGTGCTACATCAGTATGTCAATACCTATGTCTATCTTCATCTGTATTTACATCAATTTACTTACATGATGCTCTTCAAGCAATGACATGCCAAGCCCACACTTTAGTGAAAGGGAACATCGTGATCAGATCTGTGTTTTAGGAAGAGAAAGTGGCTAGAGAAGACGACTTTCAGAACAAAGGCAGATGTGGCACCGACTTGCGTGCCCAAGACCAGCTGTAATCCAAGTGTTGACTTTGCCCTTGTGCTTTCTCGGGCATCAGGGCTGAGAAAGTCGACAGGAAAGAAAGAGGTGCGTGATGGGAAGCAGCAGGCTTCTGCCATGCAGACCCATCATCCACGGTCTTTCTCATGGTCCCACACCTCAGGGCAACCTTACAGAGTCACAGTCAATCTGCCTGAAACACTGAAGGAGCAGGCTTGTTCAAAGAGTTCAGCTCTGACAGACGACTTTAATTGGCCCAAGAAAAGGTAAAATCAGACAATCACAGTGAAAACCACCACTACTGCCCATTTAGCAAACGGTTCTTACACACCTACTGTGTGTCAACCAAGTTTTCATGCGCCAAGATAAAGTCGTGTCAAATCATAACCGCTGTTGCTAGGAAACTTCCAGCCTCCACATGTTGCAGCCCCTCTTAACTCTATCCTATGCTCCTTTTTTTCCTGCCAACACCCACCACTTCCCTACTCCCTGTTAAGAACAAAAACACATCTTTTGAATATAAACAAATCTCTGAAAAGGTTTGTTCAAGAACAGTGAGGAAGTGGGGATGAATATAACCTTAAAATAAAGGAAACCCGTAGGCGGAGGCAAAGGGGAAATTATGCTTTAGATGGCAACAAAGTTCACCATCAATTGACATTGTTTCCTGCCCCTCAGGAGCTATGCCTTTCAAGGAAAAAACTTATGTAAATAAATGGCAGTAACGGATCTGGAATTCATTTTTTCCCCTCTGCATTAGCACTGGCAGAGGGACAGCTGACAGGAAAGAAACGTGGAAGCTAGGACACTGTGCTCTTTCTTCCTCTAAGCTGTGCTG